ATTACGTCGTTCAATTTTTTTTTTCAATTTCATCCAGAATTCACTCGATTATTATTAGCATTTTTGTAATATTTCATGGACGGCGATATAAAAACTTGACATTATAACAAATACCATGGTATTTTTGTATCGCTGGACAATAGATATTTTTGGTTTAAAACAAGTCCTGAGTTTTCTAGGGGAAGATGGTTATTTATAATGTCACAATATTTCTGGACATGAAACGTAAATTTTAAATTGCCGGTAACAAATATTTCCTTTGTATATATAATAAAGGATATTTTACGAATATTTAAAAAAAATGTTAAAATAATATTTCAGTGAGCTTCAATGATAGCACTTATCTTTTTAGTGCAGGCACCATTTTTGAATTTTTCATTTGTGCTAATATTTTGATGTCGAATGGAAATTAAAAATTTGAGAAATCCAGATTCTATTCTTGTTAATATAAAACACGGCAATTATTGTTAATCGTAAAATTAATTAATTACATGATTTTATATCTTTATTAGCGTATTATTTAATCTATGAAATAGTTCTTACAGAGTTTCTACAAATTTCTTCTTGCAAAATTTTGTGATTTCTATATAGGCGATAAATGAACTTTTTTTGAAGAATTTTCATACCCTTCAAAATCTATATAATCTGATTAGAATTTTTATAAGATTTCCATGATTCCATGAACCAAAATAAAATTCCATAACAATTCCAGGATTTCCATTTTTTTTCATGAATTGTAGAAACCCTGCCTTTAGAAACTTTGAAGAAAAACTTTTACTTTTTTTTACTCTGTAAAAAAAAATTACAGGATTAGTCATGTAAAAATTAGTCACGTGCGTTTTAAGAATTAGTATTCAAATAATATTGTGTCTATAACGGAATATTATTGTCTTTGTGGTATAAGTAATTAGTATGACTTCTTGTTACATCTTGAGTTTAAAATATTCCCAATAAATATTTTTTTCTTACTTGTTACGTCCTTTATTATTTCCTTTTTAATTACCAAATATATGTTCTGTTTAAATTCTATATTCAGAATTTTTTATTCAAATCTTCAGAAAATTAGTTTTATTTCTTTTTATTTTAAAAATATTAATAATATCAAAATTTTCTCAAAACTTTTCAGTTATATTTAAACATAAACAAAAAGGGGAAAAAATGAATATTTAGAAATTAAAGAGGTAAGGCTTTTTATTTTTTGATATCTAGAAAAAAAGGGTAAAAAAATTGAAAACAAAAACAGACTTCGCACTAGATAATTAATTTTAAAAAAGTAGCAAAAAGTATCTTTCATACTAAAAAAAAGTATTAAAAAAGTAGATATCGAAAAATTAAACTTGAGGACCAAAAAAACTCGTTTTAGACTCTTCACAAAACTGACAAAAATTCCATTCTTTATTTTATTTTCCTGACTTTTTCCTAAAAAAAGGAAATTTTTTTTCATAAAAAATATTTACTTCTTTCTTATCCTGCTACTAAATTTAATTCCTGCAAAAAATTTTATTATTTATCAAAGAATTTAAATATTTATAAAAATAATTTAATTCTTGCGAAGAATTTTATAAAATTTTTTAAATAATTCATTTCTTTCGAATAATTTAATGCAAATTATAATTTAAATAATTGAATTCCTAAAAAACTTTTATTATTCATGAAAAGAATTGATTTCATACGAAGATTTTTAGAACAAATTTTTTAAATAATAATTGAATTCTGTTTGGAAATTTTATGAAAATAGTAGATATTGAAAATCATTGAATTGGAAAAAGTTTTTAAAAATAATTAAATTTTACAAAGACATCTATAAAAAATTTTGACAATAATATTGAATGTCTAATGTCTATGTGGTATTTTATTAAATTGTTTTTTGAAAATAATTGAATTCCTAAAAAGCATTTTATTATTTATGAAAATAATTGAATTCTTTGGAACGATTTTATTAGAATTTTAAAAAAAGAAATTAATTTCTAAGAAGAAATTCATTATTTTTAAAAATAATTAAATTCTTGTGATGAATATTGTTATTTATGAAAATAATTGAATTTTGCAGAGAATTTTTTGTTAAAATCTAAAAGAATAATTGAAGTATTTCAAAAAAATTTAATTAAAATTGTATTTAAATTAATTGATTTCTTTCGAACAATGTTATTAAAATATTTAAAAATAATTGAATTCCTGTAAAAAATTCTAATATTTTTGTAAATAATTGAATTCTTCCCAAGAATTTTAAAAAAACATTTTTTAAATGATTGATTTTTTTGAGGATTTAAAATCAAATTTTTAAGAATAATTAATTACATTTTTGAGCAATTTGCTGTAAAATTGTGTTAAAAATAATTGAAATCCTGCGATGAATTTTATTATTTATGAAAATAATTGAATTCTTCCAAAGAATTTTAAAAAACCATTTTTTTAAATGATTGGTTTTTTTGAGGAATTGAAATCAAATTTTTAAGAATAATTAATTACATTTTTGAGCAATTTGCTGTAAAATTGTGTTAAAAATAATTGCAATCCTGCGATGAATTTTATTATTTATGAAAATAATTGAATTCTTCCAAAGAATTTTAAAAAACCATTTTTTTAAATGATTGATTTTTTTGAGGAATTGAAATCAAATTTTTAAGAATAATTACATATTTTGAGCAATTCTTGAAAAATTTTATTGAAAATAATTGAATTTCTAAAAAGTATTTTATTATTTATGAAAATAATTGAATTCTTTCAAACGATTTTATTAGAATAGTTTTAAATAATTGAATTTCTAAGAAGAAATTTATTACTTTTAAATATAATTGAATTCTTGTGACGAATATTATTAAATATATAAAAATAATTGAATTTTGCAAAGAATTTTATTAAAATCTAAAAGAAAAATTGAATTAATTCAAAAAAATTAAATTAAAATTGTATTAAAAATAATTGAAATTCTGCTATTAATTTTATTATTTATGAAAATAATTGAATTATTACGAAAAATTTTTATTAAAACGTTTAAAAAAAATTGAATTTCAGTGAAAAATTTTGTTATTTTTGAAAATATAATTGAATTCTTCATAAAAATTTTACAAACATTGTTTTAAATAATTAATGTTTTCGAAATATAATAAATATTATGAAAATTTATTTTAAATAATTGAATTTTTCTGGAAAACTTTATTTATGAAAATAATTGAATTTTTCGATTAATTAATTTAAAATATTAAAAATAATTGAAATTCTTCGATGAGTTTTATTAATTATGAAAATAATTGAATTCTTGAAATTTTGAATGAATTTTATCAATTTGATTAAATAATTGAATTCTGTTGCAAAATTTTATATGAAAATACTAGATATTGAAAATAATTGAATTTTGAATATTCTTTGAAAATAATTGAATCGTTTTAAAGAATTTGAGCCTATAATTTTTTACAAGATTTTTGATTTTTAGTATTAGCCAATTTAAAGTAGTGAAAATTCGCAAAAAAAAGAACAAAAATAGTAGCTTTTAGTGGCTGAAAAGAAAAAAAAAGTACCAAAATAGTAACATAACGTAAAAAAAGTATGTAGTAAATAGTAGATTTTAGTAAATGAGTGCGAAGCCTGCAAAAATAATCAACAAATTCTAAAAGAAAAAACATAGTTTGAAAACTGGGATAAAAAATCCATGGTATGTAGCCCAGTTAGAGAGTCTAGGGTTTTATATGATAAAAGGGATCATCATCATTTCAATATTCAATCCAATGGTTTCTCCCGAATTATAATCTCGCATATATACTATTGACTCGAAATGTATATTATGATGAGGAGATAATTTTTTCCATTCACATAAAATTTCTTTTCTTTTCTCTCTCTCTCTCTCTCTCTCTCTCTCTCTCTCTCTCGAAAAAATCACAGAAATTACACTTTAAAATATGAGACCACTGACACACATTAAAATTCGTTTACGTTTGCACAATTATTATACAATACTTTGTTATATATTTTATACGAATATATATGTTTTTTCTTATCTAATATAGGCCATGGTATCGATTCCTTATATCGTTAGACGGATACTTATTATAAATTAAACTATTTTATTAGTGTCAAAAATATAATAAATAATGCAATTAATTAGCTTCAAATTAAAAATTAAACAAATATATTACAATGAATTCAAAAATAAAAAAAAAATAAAAAAAAAAATTTTCCTAAAAAATCTCATTATTTAAAAGTGCAAATTATAAATTACCACTAAAAAGAAGTTTTTTGTTTCATTTGCAAAAAAAAAAAATTAATTTTATTTTAAAATTTCGTTAAAAGGAAACTAAACATACCGAATAAATTTCTTGAAAACTAATATTTTTAAAGTATTTATTTAATTCTAAGGAAAAAAAATACCGAGGTAGATTTTTAAACAAAAATATGTTTCATTTTTTAATACCATTATTTTAAAAAAATGAGTAATAATGATAGTAACGTAATTAAACAATATTAAGAACAGTGACTTATAAAAATAGGAAACATTAAAAGTACATTTGTATATATTATATATATTATAACTTCTTAACAAGAACAACAAGAAAATATTGTGCCTTTGATGCCATTATTTCAAAAAGCATTTACATAAAAATATTTTTTAAAAATGTATTACGTCTTAAAAATTTTTTTTTTAAAAAAATATTTCTTGTCACAAAAATATGGATATTTTTTTTTTACTGAAAATATATTCGGTTTGAACATTTTTTGAAAAATGTTTGTGTTAACAAAATTTCATTTCTTGAAGAAAATTAAAGTTATTTTTGGTTATATTGTACGATTCCTTCACAATTAGATAGTAAACTAAATAGTGTATGTTATGTAAACTAAATAGAATGTAGAAGTGAATTAAATAGTGAATACTATAAAAAAAAGGAATGAAATGAAGAATATGTCACTAATAATGAATGTACTAAGTGATTAGTGATTAATGCTTAAGAAAGAATAAATTAATAATAAAGAAGGAATAATGAGTAAAAAGAAATACGACACTAGAATTAAATATTAAAAATTTAAAAATAATAACAATAAGGACTAAAAGAAGCGTGCAAAGTAAAATTAGAAAACACGATACAGTAAAACTTATTGGCAGCTAAAATGAGCTAAACTTGTTTTACAAAATTATTATAGTCATTTCATGACAAAGTTCAAAAGTCGAAGAGTGAGAGAACCCTTCTAGTGTTATACGATTTATTATTATAAATCAATTTAAAAATGATCAATTCCGTTTACGTCGATGGTAGAAAATTGATGTCTCTTCACATATTTATGAGTAGACGCCGTCTCGTATTTTTTTAGCATCAAAAAGATTTATGAATACAGTCGGCTTTTTTTGTTAAAAATGGATCTCCTCCCAATTCTATACAAGGAATATAAATCTACAGCGGCGTCAGTGAAAAATCTAACTCAATTCTACAATGTGACTCATCGATTCATTAAATTATTATTGTTATCTTTTTCTTTGTCTTTTTTTTCGTTCATGTCGTTTTTAAATTTCGTTTATTCCTTCTTCTTTTTTTTCGTTTAGCACAAGAATAAATGGCAGGAGTGCACTTTTTCGGACATTTTTTAATGCGGATAGTGTCGCGAGAAAAGATGCTGCTTGGTCATTTCATAAGATTGGTTTTATAGTGAAAGTCATTGGAATGAGGAAAATACTAATTAATTAATTTAGCTCGCATCGGGAATTGAATGTGTAAAAGAATTTTTGTAATTCGCTTCTTTTTCTTGCGACTCTATGTTGGATGTACGTGACTTATAAAATATTACACTTCCCTGAACGCCTTCGTTTTCGACGGTTTTTCTCAAGCTCCGCTGGTGGTTGGTTCCTAATGATGCGTACCACCTGTAAACATATTTTAAATTATTACACAATTACAAACATTTATTAGCTGGTAAAATGAATATTTATTTAATGCAGGCTACACAGTGCCCCTAAATGGTATTTAAGGGGAAATAGGGGACTGAAAATTAAAAAATAGGGGACTTTTAGGGGACCATAAAAATTGGTTAAATAAAGATAAAAATATAATTTATTTATGGAGGGTTGCCACAAAAATTTAACTTTATTTTTCCCTCACTTTTCCCTGATTTCCAAACAAAACTTTGACTTATATTTTTCCCTGACCCTAAAGAATATTCTAATTCACTTTAAAAATTATTAGATGCTCAAAAAAAAGTTCTATTAAATTTATTTACAAATTTCTTCATAAGCAAAATTATTCGAAAACATCAATAGTTTTATTTAAAATAAATATTTAATCATTTTTTTTTCATTGGGATTAACATGTTCAAAAATTTCAAATTCAAACCTTTTCAAATTGAACAACTCATAAGAATATTTTTATTATATAAAACATAAAGATGACCGACTGACAAAATCATTATTTTATTATTACAAGAATATTGTTACTATGTAATTTCTTCAAAATTATTGGTATCATTTCAATTCAAATAACATTTTCTAAAATTTTTAACTAAAATTCTACTTTAAATCAATAACATCAATTATTATTCAATTAAACTTTTTCAAAAAAAGTAATTCTACAGAATTGTTAGTTAAAAGTACGAAAAATAATAATTTATTTCTACGAGAAATCAATTATTTAACTACAAAAATAAATAATATTGAATGATTCTTAAAATTTAATTTTACGAAGAATTGTATTAACAACTTTTGAAAATATTTAATTTCTTTTAAGGAATTTAATTAAAATTTTAATGAAATTTATTATATTAAAGAATTTTATAACAATTTTTGAAAATAATTGAAAACTTTTTGAAGAATTTTATTAAATTTTTTAAAAATAATTGAATTCCGGAGAAGAATTTAAATAATAATTTTTGAAAACAATTGAATTCATGAGAACAATTTTATTAAAATTTTTGAAAAAAATTGACTTCTTGAGAAGAATTTTTAAAAAAATTTTGACAATAATTTAATTCTTGAGAAGAATTTTCCAATCTATTTATAAAGATAATTTAATTCTTGACGAGAATTTTTTTAAAATTTTGAAAATAATTTAATTGCTGCAAAGTATTTTATTACTTTTCAAAAGAATTGAATTCTTGTGATGAATTTTGATATTTATCAAAATAATTGAATTTTGGAAAAGAATTTATTAAAATTCCTTAGAATAATTGATTTTATGAGAAGAATTTATGCGATTTTGTTGATTATTAAGCTAATTGAATTCTTTTGCAAAATTACTTAAAATTTTTTGAAAATAATTGATTTTCTGCGATGAATCAAATGTTATTTATGAAAATATTTGAATTATTGCAAGAATTTTCTTGTTTTATTGAATAATTGAATGTTTCTTAAAATTGAATTCTTTATTTCTTTCCTCAAGTTTTAATAAAATTTTTAATAATAATTGCATTTTTCAAGGAATTTATTTAAAATTGTATTAAAAATATTTGAAATTCTGCGATGAAAATAATTGAATTTTCGTAAATGAAATTTTATTATTTATGAAAATAATTGAATCTTTTCGTAGAATTGTATCAACAAGTTTTTTCTATAATTAAATATGTTGATAAATTTTATGAAAATAGTAAATATTTAAAAACATTGAATTGCGAAAAACCTTAAAAAATAATTGAAATGATGCAAAGAATTTTATTTAAATTTTTGAAAATAATTGAATTTTAGGCGAAAAATTTTGCTATTTATAAAAATAATTGAATTCTTGACGAGATATTCATTAAAATTTATAAAAATAATTAAATTCGTGCAAAGTATTTTATTAATTTTTGTTTAAATAATTGAAATTTTGCCAAGAGTTTAATTAAAATTTTTGACAATAATTGAATTCTTGAGAAGAATTTTGATATTTATCAAAATAATTGAATTTTGAAAAATAATTTTATTAAAATTCCTCAGAATAATTGATTTTATGGGATGAATTTGTGCGATTTTGTTGTTTAACAAAATAATTGAATTCTTTTGCAAAACTATTAAAAATTTTTTGAAAATAATTGATTTTCTGCGACGAATTAAATGTTATTTATAAAACTATTTGAATTATTGCAACGAATTTTCTTGTTTTATTGAATAATTGAATGTTTCTTAAAATTGAATTCTTTCCTCAAGTTTTAATAAAATTTTTAATAATAATTGCATTTTTCAAAGAATTTATTTAAAATTGTATTAAAAATATTTAAAATTCTGCGATGATTCAATTAAAAATAATTGAATTCGTAAATGAAATTTTATTATTTATGAAAATAATTGAATCTTTTCGTAGAATTGTAATCAACAAGTTTTTTCTATAATTAAAGCTGTTGATAAATTTTATGAAAATAGTAAATATTTAAAAACATTGAATTGCGAAAAACTTTTAAAAATAATTGAAACATTGCAAAGAATTTTATTTAAATTTTTGAAAATAATTGAATTTTTGGCGAAAAATTTGGCTATTTATAAAGATAATTGAATTCTTGACGAGATATTCATTAAAATTTATAAAAATAATTGAATTTGTGCAAAGTATTTTATTAAATTTTGTTTAAATAATTAAAATTTTGCCAAGAGTTTAATTAAAATTTTTGATAATAATTGAATTCTTGAGAAGAATTTTGATATTTATCAAAATAATTGCATTTTGGAAAAGAATTTTATTAAAATTCCTTAGAATAATTGATTTTATGATAAGAATTTATGCGATTTTGTTGTTCATCAAGATAATTGAATTCTTTTGCAAAATTATTTAAAAATTTTTGAAAATAATTGAATTTTTGGCGAAAAATTTTGCTATTTATAAAAATAATTGAATTTCTTCGAAGAATTTTATTACTTTTGAAAATAATTAAATTCTTATGATGAATATTGTAACTTATGAAAATAATTGAATTTTGCAAAGAATTTTATTAAAATTCCTAAAAATTATTGAATTTCTGTGAAGATTTTTGTTATTTATCAAGATAATTGCATTAAAACTTTTGTAATAATTAAATAGTATTAAAAAATTCATTCTTGTCTGAAATATAAAAATTTTTTAAAGGTTTTCTTTAAGACTTGACTTCTCACTTCACCAAAATACTAATCTTACAAATTTTATATAAATTTCAAGATTTGAAACTTTCAAAACAAAAGTTTCCAATTGAAACTTTCAACGGCACTTTGCTAAATTTGGTGTGAATTCATCATTAAAAGATAAAAGAAAAAAATAGGGGGAATTTTCAAAATAGGATACGTTTAGGGCCCAAAATTAAAAAAAGGGGACTTTTAGGGAAATAGGGGACAGACTGTGAAGCCTGTTTAATGTCAGTATTTTTTATGGTTTTAACATTTTTTACTCTATATGATAAAGAAAAAATACAAGTTGAACTTGTATAGTCTTTCAGTCTATTATAGTCTTTCAAAAATTCCTAGAAACAAGTTTTTTGAAAGGTGTCATAACTGAAAAATATTCTGCCAAAGTTTCAAATTGATCGGAGCAAATTTGTATAAGTTTTACGTTGACACTTTTTATTGAAAGTTGTTATTTTTTTAAGTCCGTCTATAACATAATATTTTATTTAAAAATACTTTTTTAATAATTATTAATTTTCAGAATAATAAATTAGTCGATTATTTTGGCTCTCAAGTAGTACGAAAATTTTTTAAAAATCCTCCTGTTGTTATCTTCAGAAATTGCTAAATTAACATTTAGCAGCTTCTGAAGATAACAACAGGAGGATTTTAAAAAATTTTCATTTTTTTTTATTCATATGACGATTGAGAATTAAAAGATTAATGTTTGCAGAAATAATATTGACATTATGTATGTCTATAAATATATGCAATCACAAACTGTAATGTACATATTGGAACAAGAAAACTAATTCCATCAAGATATTAAAGAAATGTGGCGACGTTATCAAGGCAGATAAGACGTAAATAGCATAGCCGACTACTGTTGAACAACTCCTACTTCTTTTCGCGGTTACCTTTATTGAAATTTAATGAAAAAAAAAATTTAATGAACTTTAAGAATTTATTAGTAATTAATAATAATTAATGATTTCTTACCTCGTGAAAAGCAACATCTACATTTAAGGGCGGATCTTTAGCAGAAGTTTCAATGTAAGGAATGCCCAGTCGATGAGCCAATTCCCTGCCTTGTTCCTCCGATACTTTTCTCAGATGGACTAAGTCTACCTTGTTAGCTACCAGCAGCATTGGATACACATCTCTGTCTTTGACTCTTAATATTTGTGTGTAAAAGTTGACAATATTCTCATAAGACTGTTTATCGGTGACTGAATAAACTAGTAAAAATCCGTCTCCTTTTCGCATGTACTGCTCCCGCATGGCACTAAACTCCTCCTGTCCTGCTGTATCCAGCACTGAAAGAAAATTTTTTTTAACAACATGAAATCTACTCCAGCACTCACATTACAATAATGTAATAATGGTAATGTCAAACAATAACTGGAACTTTGCATTTTCTTCAAGTTGTATACAATTTGAGGAGCTAAACCATCTGAGATGAACATTTTGAAAAAAGTGAAAGACAAAGAAGAAAACTTGGATGCATTCCAGTTTTGGATTACAAACTCTACATAAGCCTGGATTCGCTTTATGGAATAACATAAAAGAGTTTTATATAAAGTTACATAAGAAACTTACCATCGAGAATGCACCATTGTTTGTCAATCTCGGTGTGCTGAATATAACTGTCCTCGATGGTGGGATCATAGTCGGTAACAAATAATTTCTGGAAAAATTGTATTGTAAGAGCACTTTTTCCAACTCCTCCATCTCCGACTACGACGAGTTTAAAAGTCATAAGATTCTCATTGTTTGGAGGTCGTGTCATTCCGCCCCTTGATCTCCCACCCCCTCGCCCTCTGTTCTGCTTGTGTTTGCCTATTCTGCCAAATCTTCTTGAATCTTTTTACACTGTCCTGATTGTTGGCCAGTCTCTTTGATTGATACTCCTTCAATAATTGTTGAACTTACCTAAAAACAAATGCTTACTTTAGAATATTTTAATTTTTACAAATAATCAAAATTATATAATTTCTATATGTAACAGTTGTACAATTTCAAAGTTAAAAAAACTGTCATTCAAATTTACATGAAAAATTTTGCTGAAAACCCTAATTTTAAAATAAACATCATACACAAGATGAAAGTACATTTACTATAAGTTTATGGATTATTAGAATTCAAATAGAGTAAGAATTCCTGATTCGTTGGTCGGCCATATTGGATCCGCCATTTTGAATATTAAAATTCTGAACTCAGATTTGTTTTCAGCGACGTTTAAAGCCCTTAGAATGAACGCTTTTCTCATGATATTTTTGTTGCATTTGAAGTGGTTAAACTTTTCGATATCTTCATTCTACAAGATTCTATGACCCGAAATCGTTTTATTTTTCAAACTTTTCTGATTTTGTAGAGAAATTCCAGTTTAAAATGTGAAACTCTTAACATCTCACAACACTTCAACTCCCCTTAAATTTTCACGGAAATTGTCTCAAAAGAAAGGTTAACTTATTGTATTATCTTAACCTGAGACCTAGTAGTAAGTTTTGATGTTAAAATTCTTTTATAAAAAAAAATTCCTTCTAAGATACATTAATTTTGTAAAAATGTCATATAATTAGTAAAATAAGCTCAAGTTGAACTAAGAAAATAATATTTAAAATTTATGAAAACTTTTCTATTTTTAAAGTTTGAAGAAAAAAAGGCGTCTTAAAAAAGACATCTTATAGAAATCTAATGCGTTAAGAAAAAGACTTTCAGAACGTCTTTTGTCTGCAAAAAGTCCTTTAAACAAGTGTGTCCTCTGGGTTGTGTTTAAACACTAAAGTTACTATTTGGGAGTAATACTCTACAGGCTTTGCACTCATTATATTAATCGATAAAAAAAAAAAGAAGCAAAAAGTATTCAATTAAAAAAGTCTACAGAGTGTCTGCAAACTTTTCGCAGACCTCCAGGGGACTTTTTGTCTCACCAGAAAGTCTATAGTGGTCTGATAGAAAAACTCGTTTTAGTCGATTCAATGAGCAAAAAAGTAACTTATTTTATTTAGAATTAATTCAATTGCTTGAATTTTTAAAAATTATTTTCGGATAATTGAACCCCTTGATGCAAGAACCAGACATAGGCCATTGAAATTAAATGGGCTGCGTCTGGTTCTTGCATCAAGGGGTTCAATTCAACAATCATCAAAAAAGCTGTCATCAAAAAGGTTTAATTACAATTCTTTAAAAAGAAGATTTTTTCTGAATTTTTAAATAACATTATTTAAAACTTCAATAATGTTTGTTAACTAAATATTTAAATATACTTAAAATCCTTAAAATTATTATTTCTGTTGCCACAAAAATAATTAAACTTTCAAATACCAAATTTCAAATTTCAAACCTTTTTGAGATTTGATTATTTCTAAAAATTACTGCTGCAATACTTCCAAAATTCATTTACTTTTTAGAATTATTAAATAAAATTATTCAAAACTTTTATAGTTTTTTAGAAAAACACAATAAATTAATAATTTTTTAAAATAAATATTTAAATATTATTTTAAACTTACAGCAATTGAAGTTTTTAAAGATTTCAAGTTAAAAACCTTTCGAAATTATTAATTTCTAATTATAGAAATTAGAAATTCTTTAAAAATGCAATTATTTTTTAGTATTTTTAAATATTATTCAAAACCTTCAGAATTTTTTAGAAAAACAATAAATTAATCATTTTTTTTCAAAAAGAATATTTAAATATTTTTATGACGCCATACCTAAGAGTCTCATTTTTGTTGCAACTTTTTTTAAGATTAGATTTTTTCAATGTTTTAGATCAATTTTTATCAGAATTAAAAGCAGTCAACTACGCAAATTCAAATATTTAAATACAAAAATTAATTATTTGATAAAATCTTGATTATATAATAATTTTTATAAAAATTAAAACTGAACCTCAATAAAAAAAAATTTTTTTTAAATAAAAGAAAATTAAAAAAAATTTTTTTTATGATGCTAAGACAATTCAAAGGCAATTTTTAACCCTATTATTCTCAAAATTCATAAAAAAATGTTAACCCAGGTAAAAATGATTCGTACGAAATTCGTTCCGAAATCCTGCCAGATTCGTACAGAATTCCTATCGAATTCGTATGAAATTACTAGCGAAATTCGTGTGGCGTTTTGAAACGTTTTTTCGCACGAATATTCGTGCGAATAATACCCGGATTTTTTAAAATGGATTTTCAAGAAATATTTTCGTTCGGAAATCCGTATGGCAATTCGCTCGAATTTCGTACGAATTTCTTCAAAAATTTCGACGAAATTCCCATACGAAATTCGTACGAAATTCGAGCGAATTACGAACGAATGTAATTTGAAAACTTTTTATAAAATTCTGCTCGGAAATTCGTATGGAATTCCGCACGAAATGTAAGCCAAAAATTTCGACGAAATTTCCATACGAAATTCGTACGAAATTCAAGCGAAGAACGAACGAATGTATTTTGAAAATTTTTTTATAAAATTCTGCTCGGAAATTCGTACGGAATTCCGAACGAAATGTCAGTCAAAAATTCTTTCAAAAATTTTCAGCGAATTTTCCAAAATAAATTCGTACAAAATTCGAGCGAATTTTGAACGAATTTATTTTGGAAATGTGGCCGAAAATTTTTAAAGAAATTTTTGGCTATGACATTTCGTGTGGAATTCTATACGAATTTTTCAAACAGAATTTTATAAAAATTTTCTAAAATAAATTCGTTCGTAATTCGCTCGAATTTCGTACAAATTTCGTATGAAAATTTGGCCAAAAATTTTTGAAGAAATTTTTGGCTGACATTTCTTGCGGAATTCCATACGAATTACCGAGCAGAATTTTATAAAAAATTTTCAAAATAAATTCGTTTGTAATTCGATCGAATTTTGTACGAATTTCGCATGGAAATTTGACCGAAAATTTTTTAAGAAAGTGTCAAAAATTATTCCGTGCGAATTTCCATACGGATTTCCGAACGAAAATATTTCTTGAAAATCCATTTAAAAAAATCCGGGTATTATTCGGGTAAAAAAAATGATAATTTTTACAAGTTTTTCTTAAAAAAAAAAGAAAAAGAGAGAATATTTATGATTTTAGATGTTTTGGGGGATTTTATTAATTTAATGGAATAAAAAAGTGGAAAAGAGGGAAAAAAGGGGATTAGGTATAAAAGGGGATTATGATCCTTGACATTCTTTCAGTGTAAAAAATTATTTTAGTAAATAAATAGAAAAAAAATCTATTCTATTAATGTAAAGTAATCGATTTTATAAAAAAAGAAATTTTAATTAAATCCAAATTTTTTAAAATTACACAAATTCCATCTATTAAAAATTAAATAACAGTTTAGTAACAGTTCAATAACAGTACATCTACTGTCATCTAATATTAAAAATTATTTGCATAACATTAGATTGAAAACTAGAAAAAAAATCAAATAGCACTTAAATATGTAACATATGTATAAATAAAAACTAAGTAAAATGTTATAAACTAAATAAACTTGTTGAGATCACTGATTTTGGGAAACTCAGTAAAAACTCTGAAAACAAGGATAATCCCACAACAACTGTCAACTGTCACTTGCACCACCGACAACATCAACAATAACAAAAAATAATTTTAATATGTGTATATATTACCTCAGCGCAATAAATATCCACAGTTGAAAAATTGTTTATTTTTTCTATATTAAAAAGTTGAGGAGTTTCTTGTTGAGAATACACACGAAATAACACCCGAGTAATTATTAATAAAACGGAAAGAGAGAGTGTAATCTGATTATTTAAAGACCATCCGCAGCCGTATCATAATCAACCTTGATCACTGATGGGGCGTGCTTAGAGATGCAGTGTATAAATACTTTTTTTTTAGATTGAACGGGAGGGATGCTGCGTGAAATGGACGTTTCTCTCTTGAAGATCGAGGGTCGACAGGCAAATTTTCAAAAAGAAAAAGAGAATCAATTGCTTGACAGCTTCTCTGATTTACTTGCCTTACATGGTGTGCCACTCCTGTCTTGTGTGTTGCCAGTCGGCTGTTGCCGTTGCTCAGGGTTTTAATCATGATCCAAGTAACAAGGTCTCGCCAAAGTCGGGCTCAATTTTAACTCGGTTCGCGCACCATAAAAAAGCCGACCAATCATAGCGATTACCTGAAGCGACGACCATATTGAAGCGCTAAATTTTGAATCAAATACAGAAACAAATTTAAAGAACATAAAGAATAATAAATTAAAAGTAAAATAATTCTTTATTAAATATTAATATTTTTTATTAAATACTTATTATTAACTTGATACATAACATTCACATATATTTATTTATATATTTAAAAACATTACATTTATCTCTAATGCTGCAAGAACTGAAGGGACAATTTCTTTTCAATTTTCAGTGGATAAATGATGAGATAAATTTTGAGCCAGATTAACTAAGACAACCTTTTTTTATTTTGAATTTTTTTAGGAATTGTTAATAACAACATTCAATTTTAATATTAATTATTAACTATTATTGGGATTGCGAACATTACAGGGAATTGACCTTTTGCAAAATAAGGCATTAGTGGTAAATTAGTAGATAAATTAGATACTAAATAAACATTTTCCAAAAAGCGAATTATTAGTTATAATAATAATAATAATAATAATAATAATAATAATAAACATAAAAATAATAATTATTATTATTATTAATAATTCATTATTGACAATTATAATTTAATAATAATGTCATAATATTTATTATTATTATTTTTTCTATTCTTATTAGTAGAAAGCTTCAATTATTCGGTTTAAAGTTTCCACATTCATTTATCATTATGTATTAAATGCCCTATAAATAAATTGCATGTTTCTTTTTTATTTTTTCTGTATAATTTCACTACATCAGTTTCAAAAAAAATTCACGCTATTTAGTATTAGCGAATTTTTTTACACGTTTTTTAGCTTTCCTTTTAGAATTTTTCTCATATACTTTCCTATTCAAAATTCGCAATCTTATGTGCGTTCGTGTACGTACCAGACACAATAATACCTTTATATCTAATTTATCCAGTGAATGTTGCTTGGAATCTTGAAAATCAAATTACTATTTATTGCAATATTTATTATTATTATTAATAACTTTATATTTATTAATATTAATACTAATTAAAAATAATAATTATTATTAAAAATAAAATAACATTCATAATAATTTATTAATATTAATTACCATTTATTGTAATATTTATTATTATTATTATCAATAATTTTATACGTATTAATATTAATAATAACAATTAATAATATTTATTATTAAAAATAAAAATATATTAATAACAATAACAATCTTATTTTCTGGATTTGAAACACATTTAAAAATACGCGGCTAGACTTTCAATATGGTCGTCACTTCGTCCGCATTCTGATTGGTGCTTGGTTCCACGTTTTTTTTGCCTGCGCGTGGCGAGACCTTGTTACTTGGATCATGGTTTTAATTGTGTAGTTTTATATCTTGTGTAGGTGTACCAGAGCTGCCAGGTACCCTCACCAAACGCAACTGCGCTTGCGCGACAAAAATGCTTCTATTTGTAGAATAAAACTTGTCCATCTAAAGTACTTTATATGTATAATATAAAACGTTTTAAAAATGCGCGGTTCATTTCGCCAATAAGATCATTTTTGTAGTGCAAGCTAAGTTGCATTTGGTAAGGGTACTTCTGATTATAAGGTAATTTTGTAAAAGAAGAAATTGAAATTGTTAAAAAAAAAGTTTAAAATTAAAGTGAAATGTTGAATAAAGTTAAAATGTTTTGAAAAAATTAAAATTTAAAAATTACACCGTTAAACTGAAACTAAATTATAAGTAAAAAAGAGAAAAATGATTTAAATTTAAAGAAATAAATGTGTTTTACAAAATTACCTCCCCTCCTATTATTGATTATTTTAATTTATAAAAAAAAACACAAATGTGCTTTTGTTTTTATAAAAAATTTGAAAAATTCAAACAATAATCAATAAAAGAAGTAGCATGTTTTTTAATTTCTTAAAAAACCTGGTATGCCTTTTTACAGGCTGGTTCGGATCTCATAAGAGATCTCCCGGTATGTACAATGGCAAAAAGCCATCACCACCAGGACCGAATAATGTTTTGTTAAATTATTTCCGCAATTAAGCAGTATATTGTCCATCGTAGAAATTTGTATTTCCGGTTGTCGAGGTTCCTCCTTTTCATTGTCCTTTAAGAGATTTACTTAGTGCTGAAAAAGAGAAAATAATTACAAATTAATTAAATTTTTTAATATTTTTCATAAAAAAAACTATTTTTTAACTATAAATTTTAAAAACTTACATTTAAAAATGAATGTTGAAAGTGATGGGAAAAATTATTTCTGCAATTCTGCAGCCTCATGTTCAATGTCATGATTCTTGATCCGAAATAGATGGTGATTTTTTATGGAATCCTTTGGTATGATCTTCTCTTGAACAAGTGCAAGATTAAGAATATTACGCCCTGCATTTACGTCTCTTTCCCACGTTGTTTTGCATTTCGCACAATAAGTGTATCGATGGGGACTCTTGGATATTTTAAGTGGTCTCACACAGCGACTACACATTTTTGTTGTATTAAACTCATTTACTTTCACGACTTGCAATTTATCCTTTCCTAATTCTTCTGATCTTTGAAAAAGAGTTTGTTGAATACGTTTCAAAGGAGCTTTAGTGTATCCCTTGATAAAATTAGGTATTTCAGCTCCACCAATAGCAACGAAACAGGGTTTCTTCTTTGTATCACCTACTATCCAATTCACAAGTTGATCAACTTGTCGCTTTTGTGCTGAATATCGATCAATTCGTAAACGCGTTACGGATCTTTTTTGATGAAGTGATTGGAAATTTTGTAAAAGATGTATTCTATATTTTGTTATGCGATGGCGATCTCGAGGATTAGTCATGCAAAAATTTTCCATCCATGGATCCTCAGCAAGTTGCTTGTAATATTTTTGCATGTCTATACCTTTTTTCTTCATTAATTCTCTTCTTCTGTAGTCGCCCATCTGCCATCTCATCATCCAACTACCAATGTAAATAGCTGAATCCTTTTTTACATTAGTGGTTGGATTAGGATCGTTTTCTCTACTGACGCCAGCCAGAGTCGCCCTCGCACCAGGATCAAAACCACAAAATTTTTTGTAACTTCCAACTTTCTTCTTTGATTGTACAACATCATGTTTTGTGGGTAAATCAAAAATTACTGACACGTCCACACCATTTGTCGTTACTGTACCAGAAAATTTACCACCATTCTTTAATCTTTTTCGACCTCTTTGGATTGATTTAAAGTTGAACATTGAATTCCACCTTTCTTCATTGTTCATTTCACTTAAGCGCTTCATTTCATCGTCCATTTTATCAACTGCTCTTTGAAGATGATCCTTATTCTTTCTTGAATTTTTTTTCTTTTTTTGTAAAATTGCCTTTTTTTCTTTAATTTCTTTAATAACAGTTGCCACTTGCAAATCTTTTAAAGCAGTATTTGTATAAACGACATGCTTCACGCCTAATGAAATTTGTGGAATTAATGTGAAATTCTTCTTCTTTTTATCATGAAATTCTTGTTGAATCATAATGAAAAATGGCAAAAATTTATGCCATTCTTCATCTTTTGTCAATTTTGTAAAGTCCAATTTTCTTCCATCATCATCATCATCCTTTTTCAGTAAATCAATAGGGAATCCTTTCACTTTACATTTATTTTCTTGCAGCAGGAGATTTAAAGCAGCAACAGATTGTTTATAAAATGAAGGCCTTCTTTTTCGAAATTTCTTTTTTTCCTTATTCTTCTCTTTTTCTTTTTCCTCATTCTTCTCTTTTTCTTCTTCTTTTTCCTTTTTCGATTTTTTTCTTCGCCTTCTTGGCCTTTTTTTATAATAGACTTTATCGCAATGTTTGCGATATTTTTCCTGTCGAACATATCTTTCATCGCAATAGTCTGATGTATTTTTTTCTCGCATTTCATCTGGAATTTTTTTTTGAGATTTTTGAAATTCTTTTCTTTGTTCATTTTTAATGCTATTTTTAAAACTCCTAATTTTTATTTTTTCATCATTATCATTTTTGATACGGTAAACTGAACAAATTTCTTGAATTTCATCTACTTCCATATGATTTTTTTCTTCGTCTTCAATTTCCATTAATAGCTGCAAATATCTTCTTAATCGTGATGCTGCATGCGTCGTGAAATTTGTTTTAAAGTTTCGATTCAACACTAAAGCTGCCTCCTGAATTATTGCCGTTCTATGTTCTCCGTCATAAAGTGGAATGTCATTCCTTAATTCTTTATATTCGTTGACCATTGTATTTATTTTCGCATCCTGTTCAGTTACTTTACGTTGAGCATTTACTTTCTGCTTTAATGATATTAAAAATGACAGAAAGTCGGGACCATTGTTGGTCCATTTCTCCAACAATGATGGGCAATTTTCAACATTTTCAACATTCGTTTCTTCATATAGGCCGAATAATGCCATTGTTGTTGCCTCATACATCATTGATGAAACAACCTTTGCATCTTCTTCAATTCGATTTTTAATGTTTGCTGATTTACATAATTTTCCCAAACAAACTTTTACCGTATGCTTTTCTGTTCCCATTAATTCCAATCTTCTTCTCACTTTATGATGCAACGGTTTATCAATATTTTCATTATCCAAAGTAATTGACGTTCTTTTTCTGTTTGAAGAAACACCAATTGTAGATTTCTCGACACTGTATTTCTTTCGTTTTGAAGAGGGGCCAGCACCACTTTCAATTGATGAGTCAACACCTATAATTGGAAGAAATGAAAATTTTATTAATTTTATATTGAGAGAGATTAAGAAAATATAAAAGAAGAAAAAAGAATACAAAATTTTACCATCTCTTTTTGAAGTTGATGTTGAATGGGAAAATTTAGCTTCTTGCTTTTTCGATTTCTCTACTTTTGAAGAAGTGATTTTTAAATCAGGTCCAGTTGATGACGATAATGATAATGATGTTTCTGTTGGTACACGGTGAACTGAACACGGTGACAGCTTTTCAGGAGAATCACTTGGTGCTGAAAAAGAAAAAAAGGAATTAAATAAATTAAAATTTTTAAATTGTTATTTTAATAAAATATTTTTAAAATGTACCCAGGTGAAAATGATTCATCGTACGAATCATTTTTTCCTTGGTTAATTATTAAAAACTTACATTTCAAACTTAATCTTTGACTATGAAATGAAATTTTTCTTTCCGGTCCTTTACTCGAAGACAAAATTTGCTTTTCAGTCTTTTCAATTAAACTGGTAGACATTTCTTCGCGAGATCTAGTTGGTGCTGAAAATTAAAAAGAAACAAAAGAATTAAAATTAAAAAATTCCTCAATTTAAATCAAATACTTGAAGAAAATAATTTTAAAAAACTTACATTTTAATCTGAATATTCCACTCGAGCGAAAAGTTTTCTTCTCTGCTTTTCGAGGTTCAGCCTGCACAGTCTTTGGAGTTGATGACGATGAAGAAAATGTCAAATTTTCGTCAGATTTTTGTGACTGTGAGTTACCGTAGAAGAATCTGGTAGAATGTCCTTCACGAGATTCATTTGATGCTGAAAAAATAGAGAATAAACAAATAAATTACAATTGTTAACTTTACATGTAAATAAAAATATTTTTAAAATACATCTGTTAAACACTAACATTTTAGACTCAATCTTTCACTAGAAGAGAAAAATTGTTTCTCCGGAATTCCAGATTTTAGATCTTCAGTCTTTCCAATCGAACTGGTAGACATTTCTTCGCGAGATCTAGTTGGTGCTGAAAATTAAAAAGAAACAAAAGAATTAAAATTAAAAAATTCCTCAATTTAAATCAAATACTTGAAGAAAATAATTTTAAAAAACTTACATTTTAATCTGAATATTCCACTCGAGCGAAAAGTTTTCTTCTCTGCTTTTCGAGGTTCAGCCTGCTCAGTCATTGAAGTTGTTGGTGATTGAGAAACTGTCAAATTTTCGTCAGATTTTTTTGTCTGTGAGTTTCCGTAGAAGAATCTGGTTGAATGTCCTTCACGAGATTCATTTGTTGCTGAAAAAATAGAGAATAAACAAATAAATTACAATTGTTAACTTTACATATAAATAAAAATATTTTTAAAATACATCTGTTAAACACTAACATTTTAAACTCAATCTTTCACTGGAAGTAAAAGATTGTTTCTCCGGAATTCCAGCTTTCACATTTTCAGTCTTTCCAATTGAACAGGTAGACATTTCTTCGCGAGATCTAGTTGGTGCTGAAAATTAAAAAGAAACAAAAGAATTAAAATTTAAAAATTCCTCAATTTAAATCAAATACTTGAAGAAAATAATTTTAAAAAACTTACATTTTAATCTGAATATTCCACTCGAGCGAAAAGTTTTCTTTTCTGCTTTTCGAGGTTCAGCCTGCTCAGTCATTGAAGTTGTTGGTGATTGAGAAACTGTCAAATTTTCGTCAGATTTTTTTGTCTGTGAGTTTCCGTAGAAGAATCTGGTTGAATGTCCTTCACGAGATTCATTTGTTGCTGAAAAAATAGAGAATAAACAAATAAATTACAATTGTTAACTTTACATGTAAATAAAAATATTTTTAAAATACATCTGTTAAACACTAACATTTTAGACTCAATCTTTCACTAGAAGAGAAAAATTGTTTCTCCGGAATTCCAGATTTTAGATCTTCAGTCTTTCCAATCGAACTGGTAGACATTTCTTCGCGAGATCTAGTTGGTGCTGAAAATTAAAAAGAAACAAAAGAATTAAAATTAAAAAATTCCTCAATTTAAATCAAATACTTGAAGAAAATAATTTTAAAAAACTTACATTTTAATCTGAATATTCCACTCGAGCGAAAAGTTTTCTTCTCTGCTTTTCGATGTTCTGCCTCTTCTGTCTTTGGAGTTGATGACGATGAAGAAAATGTCAAATTTTCGTCAGATTTTTGTGTCTGTAAGTTACCGTAGAAAAATCTGGTAGAATGTCCTTCACGAGATTCATTTGTTGCTGAAAAAATAAAGAATAAACAAATAAATTACAATTATTAATTTTAAATGTAAATAAAATTTTTTCAAAAAACAACTTTTAAACACAAACATTTTAAACTCAATTGTTGTTTTCTCTTCATTATGTCAATACAGTAGATACTGGTACATGAATTTCTGTAAAAAAAAAATTTGTTAAAAAGACAAAATAATAAGGGTGCAATCTAATAGCATCGTTTTGCGTTGGGTTTTGTAATTAGGCTATTTGGGTATTTTTTTAAAATTTTAGCAACTACAAGCTACTACTTGTGTTAATATATATATATATATATATTTTAGAATTTCCATTACATTAAATTCACAAATTATTAGAGATCAAGCAACTATTTACAAAAATTATAATAAAATTCTTTAAAACGAAATTCAATTAGTAGTTTAAAAAAAATCTTTGAAATTCAATTATATTGTCTTGAAATTAGAAAATAATCAATTATTTGAGAAAATCATTTTCAAAAAGATGAATTATTTAACAAAATTTTCATTAAAATAATTATAGTTTTGATAGAAATTTGAAAAAAGTCTGCATAATATAATGTAGAGAATAAATAATTTATAAAGTTTCTAAAATTAATTCTTTTAATAGTCAAGTTACAAAAAGCAAAGCAAATAACGATGCCATGGGACTGCACTCGGGGACTTATTTTATCAACGATTATTTAATAAACTGTCGAATAAAAAAAACGTCCGTTTTGCCTTAATAAGGCTTTGCCGTAATACAGCTTTACGTCCGTCTGCCTTAAAAAGGCTTTGCTGTAATACAGCTTTACGTCCGTCTGCCTTAATAAGGCTTTGCTGTAATACAGCTTTACGTCCGTCTGCCTTAAAAAGGCTTTGCTGTAATACAGCTTTACGTCCGTTTTGCCTTAATAAGGCTTTGCTGTAATACAGCTTTACGTCCGTCTGCCTTAAAAAGGCTTTGCTGTAATACAGCTTTACGTCCGTCTGCCTTAAAAAGGCTTTGCTGTAATACAGCTTTACGTCCGTCTGCCTTAAAAAGGCTTTGCTGTAATACAGCTTTACGTCCGTTTTGCCTTAATAAGGCTTTGCTGTAATACAGCTTTACGTCCGTCTGCCTTAAAAAGGCTTTGCTGTAATACAGCTTTACGTCCGTCTGCCTTAAAAAGGCTTTGCTGTAATACAGCTTTACGTCCGTCTGCCTTAAAAAGGCTTTGCTGTAATACAGCTTTACGTCCGTCTGCCTTAATAAGGCTTTGCTGTAATACAGCTTTACGTCCGTCTGCCTTAAAAAGGCTTTGCTGTAATACAGCTTTACGTCCGTTTTGCCTTAATAAGGCTTTGCTGTAATACAGCTTTACGTCCGTCTGCCTTAAAAAGGCTTTGCTGTAATACAGCTTTACGTCCGTTTTGCCTTAATAAGGCTTTGCTGTAATACAGCTTTACGTCCGTCTGCCTTAAAAAGGCTTTGCTGTAATACAGCTTTACGTCCGTCTGCCTTAAAAAGGCTTTGCTGTAATACAGCTTTACGTCCGTTTGCCTTAATAAGGCTTTGCCGTAATACAGCTTTACGTCCGTTTGCCTTAATAAGGCTTTGCTGTAATACAGCTTTACACCCGTCTGCCTTAATAAGGCTTTGCTGTAATACAGCTTTACGCCCGTCTGCCTTAAAAAGGCTTTGCTGTAATACAGCTTTACGTCCGTCTGCCTTAAAAAGGCTTTGCTGTAATACAGCTTTACACCCGTCTGCCTTAATAAGGCTTTGCTGTAATACAGCTTTACGCCCGTCTGCCTTAAAAAGGCTTTGCTGTAATACAGCTTTACGTCCGTTTGCCTTAATAAGGCTTTGCTGTAATACAGCTTTACGTCCGTTTGCCTTAATAAGGCTTTGCTGTAATACAGCTTTACGTCCGTTTGCCTTAATAAGGCTTTGCTGTAATACAGCTTAAGTTCGTCTGCCTTAACAAGGCTTTGCTGTAATACAGCTTAAGTTCGTCTGCCTTAACAAGGCTTTGGTACTATTGCTTACCTGTAACACAGTTGAGCATGAAGTGCCAGTCTCGTCTCGGGCGCCTGCTTATATACCCGTGTCCCCACCACTTCGAGCGTCCCCACCAGTGCGCGCTTGTACTACTAGCGCCGTGGTGATGTACAAACTATTTCAAGCATATTTTCGGTAACTCGTACCACGAGTCGATAATGCAGAAAGTGAAATTACCTATAGTTGTGTCAAATTTCAAAATAAAGAATTTGTTGGTAAAGCAGTTTTGTTTTGTTTACGATAATCTGTGCAGAATGGAATATACAAACGTGTTGTATAATTAATTAAGATAAGTATTGTTTTTTAATGAATAAATAAATAAGTAAATAAATAGTTTAATTATTTTAATGCGAATTAATTTTTTTTTCAGGTTTAAATTATAGGTGCAAAATATGACAGTAAGAAGAAGAAGAAAATTAAATTGTGCATTGAGGTTAGTTTTAGTTTTACTTTTAATATTATAAATATATATAATAACATATAGTAAATAACAAATAATTAATTTATTAATTATAAATAACAATATTAAAAAAAAAATTTATTGAAATTTATGTTTATCAATATAAATCTTGATAATCACACAAATTAATATTAAAGGTATATTGAAATTGTTTTTATTTTTTAGGTTAAAAATTCCAACCATACGTCAAGTCATAATAAATTTGACACATACCATAAGGGAACGAGCGACACCAGTTCGGAAAATTAATTAGGATAAATATTGTCTTGGAATTTTATTTTGAGGTTAGTTTTAATGTTTAATTATTGTTTATAGTAATAAATAGGTATATTTTTTTCTCTTATTTTTAACTCTATATGTAGGCTTCTCATGGAAACATTGTTTTATTGAAAATTTTTTTTTAAATTTAAAATTAACCTTAGAAGAATAGAAAATGTTGACAAAGAAATTACGAGTAAGAAAAAATTTTTTTTTACTCTAAGAAAACATACTTAATATAATTTTTAGTTTCTCTATTTTGATTAATTGTTATTTATTTTGTTTATAGGTTCAAGTATTTAACGATGGGAATTTGTAACTGACAAGAGTGCGCAATTAATCAATGTCGGAATATTGAGAAATAAAGATGTCTTCAAATTTACGTTCTCACATTAATTTACATAGTGAATGAAAAATTAGTACTCCAATTACAGATTTATTGATAATTTTTATTTATTCTAATTTATTATTACATTTAATAAATTATATTAATTGTTTTCTAGGAAAAGAATTGGATAATAATTTTTGTCTCATTGAATCGTGGGGGAAAAGAAATGAGAAGTTGGATTCTTCTTTTGTTTCTTTTATTCGTAGAAAAATATGATTAAAAGTCAATTTTTTCAAACCGTGTGATAAGGATGTGGTGGAGAAAAGGATTTCTTTTATATACTTTGAAGAGTAAAACGGCTTGCTGAAAGAGAAACGTGCGCAGTTAATATTAATTCTTCGTAATGGAAAACAAGCAATAAACATGCAATAAAATTAAAAATTCATTTTCATTTTGAATATTTTTTTATTTTTTTTTCTTTATCTCTCTGGTGTTTTTAGTTCAAGTTACCTTCTCTTTTTTTTTTTGTCTTTCGAATGCATTTCGAATTTTTCATATTAAGTTAATTTTATTTTTCAATTACTTAAAGAACATTTTGTGCGTGATTATTTTTTGAGAATAAAAATTGTTTATGTTTCGTGTTTAGAAGAATATAAACATTTTGTTTATTATTCAATTATACAAATCACATATAAAGCTTCTTTTATTAATTTTTTTCTCGATTTTCTCATATATCAACGTTAAAAATCGCTCAAATCGGCTTCATTACTAGAATCCAGTGGTGGAATTGGCGGTGGTACATTTTCAAATTCCGGAGCAATCTACAATATAGAAATCTGATAGAAATGTATTAGAATACAATGAAAATGAAAAAAATTATTTAACAAATAATTACCTGAATAAAATTATTCAAATTCGTCTCGGAATTTAATTTGAAATCGTTTTTCGTGTCTTCGTTGTCTTCTTTTAAAGATGATGATGATGATGATAATCTCTCTGTTTCCTGTAATTGACTATTTTTCTCATGCATTTTCTTTTTATCACTCGATTCTTCCTCACATTCATCGCTATTCAGTACTTTTAAAGTTATGTCCTGTTTTTAAAAAATTATAAATTTTATTAAAATTATTATTAATTAAATAATAATTAATAATAATATTAATAAATTAATTCTTTACTTTTTTCTTTCTAAACTTTTTTATAATTTTTCTTTTCAAATATTTTCAATTTTAAAATTAATGCATTGAAAATCATCGAATTGTTGCAAAGAATTTTATCAAAAAATTTGATAATTAAAAATTATTTCAAAGAATTTTATTATTCAGAAAAATAACTGAATTCTCGCAGTGAATTTTATTATTTAGAAAAATAACTAAATTTTCGCAGAGAATTTTATTAAAATTTAAAAAAAACTAATTGAATTCTTTTGAAGAATTTCTTTGAATTTTTTTTAAACTAATGAAGCTTTTTTAATAATTTTAATTGAAAATTAAAAATTAATTTAATTAATTAAAATAGCAATTGGATTTTATGAAGAAGAATTTTATTAAAATTGTATTGAAAATAATTGGATTTCTGCAAAGAATTATACTATTTATAAAAATAATTGAAATGTTTCGAAGAATTTATTAAAATTTTAGAAAATAAATTAATTTTTTGTTAATATTTGAAAATTTAAATTTTTTCGAGGAATTCTATTAAAATTGTTTTGAAAAGAATTGAATTTCTGCAAAGAATTGTACTATTTATAAAAATATAATTGAAATGTTTCAAAGAATTTATTAAAATTTAAAGAAATGAATAAATTGTTATGAAGAATTTTATAGAAATATTTGAAAATAATGAAATTTTTTCGAGAAATTCAATTAAAGTTGTTTCAAAAATTATTAAATTTCTTTTAAGAATTTTACTTAAAATTAAGTATATTCAAAATAATTGAATATTCATCACAAGAATTTTATTATTTTTTGATAATAATTGAATTCTTTCAATTTTTTTTTTGACGAATATATTTAAAAATTGCCTTGAAAATAATTTAATTTCTATATCGAATTTTTTAAAAATATTTTGAGAATAATTGAATTATTTTTAGAGAATTTTAAATTCTTGTTGAAATTGAATTTTATGGAAATTTTATATTTTCTGAAATTGTAATATTTAATCGTTTTTAATACAATATTAATAAAATTAATTTTATAAATGTATTCAATTTTTAAAAAGAATTTTATTAATATTTTAAAGAAAAATTCAATTATTTTCTAAAATTTTAATAAATCCTTTGAAACAAATTAATTATTTTTATAAATTGTAAAATCTTTGCAAAAATAATGAAATTTTTTCGAGAAATTCAATTAAAGTTGTTTCGAAAATAATTGAATATTCATCACAAGAATTTTATTATTTTTTCAAAATAATTGAATTCCTTCAATTTTTTTGACGAATATATATTTATAAATTGCCTTGAAAGTGATTTAATTGTTATATAGAATTTTAATATTTATAAAATTAATTGAATTCTTGCCAAGAATTTTACTATTTATAAAAATAATTGAATTTTTTCTAAGGATTTATTAAAATTTTAGAAAAAAATTGAATTTTTTCGAAATGTGTTGAAATTTGTTTTAAAAATTGAATTCTTTCAAGGAATTCAATTAAAAATGTTTTGAAAATAATTGAATTTTTGTAAAGATTTTAATATTTAAAAAAATAATTGAATTGTTTAGAAAATGAAAATAATGGTAATTGAAAATTAATGGCAAATAAAAATAATGGTAATTGAAAATAATGTCAATTAAAAAGTCAAATTAAAAAAGTTAAATAAATATAATGTCAATTGAAAATAATGTCAATTAAAAATAGTGGCAAATGAAAATAATGTCAATTGAAAATAATGGCAATGAAAATATTAATTTTCTATACGTATTTTGAATATTTCTTACCCTCAACGTGTTAGCAATCGTTTCTTTTATAAAACTAGTTGAATAATTGTCTTCTATGAATTTTGACAGTAATGTGTGGTACGTATTATTCATGATCAATTTCACTTCTTTATTTTTATCACTTTTCTGAAAAGAAAAACGTAATTGTAAATTAATAGTGTTTATTTTTATTTTCTTAAAATAAAATGAGAAAACTTACAGAAGTGGATTTCATTTGATTTGTACTTGCAGCAATTTCTAAAGATTTGCAATTAGATTGAAGTTGTAAAATTTCCCTCTCTAGATTGGAATTTCTCTTTTGAGAATCATTCAAATTTTCCCTGGCAGCTTCATGAAGTGTATTTAAATTATCGAACTCTTGTTTCTTCGTTGATAGATTCGTTTCTAAACTTAATATTTTCTCCTTTAGTTCCAGATTCACTTGATCTAAACTATTTTTTTCTTCTTTCAGTTTCGTTATTTCCTGGTTGGCATTATTTGATATTTCTGAAAATAATTTTACAATATTATTATTAATTCCTAGGTATTATTATTATTATTATTATTACTAGCACTATTCAATATTTTCGTAAATACCTCTTATCATTTTCAGTTCCTCTTCTTTGGTTAAAATATTCTCTTGCAATTGATTCAATTGACTTTTATTACTTTCCTCAAGTTTACCAGAAGTAATAATTGAATTATTTTTCGTTTCTGGTGAATTCAATGAGAGAATCATTTTCAACGTGTTCTCCATTGTTTTATCATTGCTCGGTGACGAAGCGTTTTGAAGTTCCAAGACGTGAAACTAAAATCAACGAAGTTGAGAATTGGTATTGATTTACTAATTAATAAAATGGTATTTTTGAAAGTAAAATTACTTTATCCAATAATCGTTGAATATTGTCGGATATTTTTGACATTCCCATTCGAATCTCGGCATTTTGTGTTCTTGACTCAGTTAAAAATATATTTAAACTTGGATCTAATGTTCCAGGCATTGTTTGAGTGACGAATTGTTGTGCCATGGGAAAAGTTTGACCGTCAAACGTCATATATTGTGACTAGAAATTATTGAAATTAATTCATTTTTGATAAAAAAAAATTCAAATTTTAATTTAATTTTCTATTTAATTTAATTTAATTTAATTTAATATTTTAATTTAATTTAATTTAATATTTTAATTTTTTTTCAATTTTACCTGCACTTGAGTTGGTGACCATTGTGGAGTGTAAACGACTGGATACAATGACGATTGTACATTAGGAACCGATGAAGTCACTTTTGATTTAATAACTTTGTGAAGATTACCAGTTTCTGTAATTTCGTGACTAGATTGAAATTGCTTTTTCGATGGACTTGTCTCTGGCAATTCTCCCTAATAATAAATTTTTAATAAATTTTTTAGTTTAAAAATCACAATTAATATTTATTAATCATAATTACTGATATTTTTAATTTTAATTCACGTCTTTTGAAATTTAGTGTTTCTATTTTTTCTGTTTTGAGAAAATTCTTCTCATCTCACCTTTCTGTGTCGTATTGTTCGTTCTTTTTTTATCTCATCCTAAAAATTGACAAAAATGATTTATTTTTAAATTTAATTTACATTTAGAAATTTTGAAAAAAGTAATTTGAAAAAAAGCTGTGATTTTAATAATTAAATTTAATGAAAATATATAAACCTCAGTGTCATCTGAATCGGTAGTCGTCGATATGGAAGTTTTTGGAAGAATAGATTGTCCCATTTTTGCCATTCTCGATATTATCGAAGCCTTACTTGACGAAATTTAACTTTCTGCTTCGGGAATTTTCATTTCCTTTGCCCTCTGAATATTTATTATTTCTATTTCGAGAACGATGTCTCTTTCCTTGGGAAATCCAGGACCGAGACTAATCTAAAAATTATAATGGAAAAAATGTAATTATGGGAAGACGGGGTTGCCATAAAAATTTAATTTTCATTTTCCCTGACCCTAAAGAATATTCTGATTCACTCTAAAAATTATTAGAATTGAATTACTGCGAAGAATTTTCAAAAAATTCATGCAAATTCTATTTTTTATAATTGAATTCTTGTGAAAGTTTCATTATTTTAGAAAATTTCATTAAAATAATTGATATACAAATTATTGAATTAAGAAAAATTTTTGAAAAGAATTGAAATTTTGCGAAGTATTTTATTAAAATTTTTGAAAATAATTGAAATTTTGCAATTCCTGAAAATAATTGTATTTTTCTTTTTATTTATAAAGATAATTGGGAATGTTGACGAAAATCTTTATTTAGTTTTTTTTCTAAAATAATTGAATTTCTGCGAAGAATTTTTTTAATTTTGAAAATAATTGAATTCTTGAGTTGAATATTTTTATTTATGAAAATAATTGAAATTTACAATGAATTTTATAAAAATTCCTGAATATAATTGAATTTTGGTGAAGAATTTTTGCTATTTATAAAAATAATTAAAATGTTGACGAGAATTTTTTTTTGAAAATAATTTAATTTCTGTAAAGAATTTTAATATTCATTGAGATAGTTGAATTCTTTCGAAGAATTGTATTAAAATTTTTAAAATTGAAACTAATTTCAAACAGAATTGAAATTAAAATTTGTCAAAAAAATATTTCATTAAAATGATTTATAAGTAATAATTTTATGGCAGTTTTTTTAAATAGAATTAAGTTATTTTTATTAAGTTATTTTCTTGAATATATTTTATTAATTTCTTTGATTTAATTAGTTAATTTCCTCAGTTTATTTTCTTAATTTCAGTGATTTAATTAGTTAATTTCTTTAATTTACTTCATTAATTTCTTTTACTTAATTTTAATTCATTTCCACAATTTAATTTATTAATTTCCTCGATCTAATTTACTTATATTTAATAATAAACAATTAAAAATTAGAAGCAAACGAACCTCAACTGGAATGGGCTTGGGAATAATTTCGTCCTCAATTAAGTCCGTGAGGCCAGTGACTGAACTCATGCACAATGTTAAATTAACATTCGAAACTTTGATATTGACATGATCTTTAAATAGAGCCATGACACTTTGCTTATCGCAAATGTTAAATGCAGAATTTTCCGATTCAATATCGCCGGAAAATCTCCCTCGATCCTGGGACGATCTACTGCTGTAAGTACTTTGACTCGCTTGTGATAATCTCCTCGAATCCTCCTTGTCCTTGAGGCAGTGCTCCAATCTCAATTTAATTTTTGCTCTGCACTCCGAATCCGAGGGCAATTCAACCCATCCTCTTGTTCTCGAACTGAATTTTGTCTAGAAAAGAGAATTCATATTTGCAATTTTAATATTTTATGGAAAATGGAAATCAGTTTCAAAAGCAGCGCTAATTTTTATTTCGTTTGGTAAATTATTCTATTTCTAGTTCGAACATTTTGTTTTTCTTTGCTTTGCTTTTACTATTTATTTCTCTTTTTATTATTTCTTTCTTTATTTTTTATTCCTTTCTTTAATTTTTACTTCTTTTTTATTTCTTTCTTTATTTTTTACTCCTTTTTTTATTTTTAACCTCGTTTTTATTTATTTATTTCTTTATTTTCGACTTCTTTTTATTATTTCTTTCTTTCCTTATTCTTTTCATTATTTTTTACTAATTTTTTTATTTCTTTCGCTCTTTACTTTTTACTTCTTTTTTATTTCTCTCTTTCTTTACCTTTTACTTCTTTTTTTATTTCTTTCCTACTTTCTTTTTAATTTCATTTTTTATAAGGGAACGAGCGACACCAGTTCGGAAAATTAATTAGGATAAATATTGTCTTGGAATTTTATTTTAAGGTTAATTTTGAGGTTAATTTTAATGTTTAATTATTGTTTATAGTAATAAATAGGTATATTTTTTTTCTCTTGTTTTTAACTCTATATGTAGGCTTCTCATGGAAACATTGTTTTATTGAAATTTTTTTTTTTAATTTAAAATTAACCTTAGAAGAATAGAAAATGTTGACAAAGAAATTACAATTCCTCTACGGGTGACTTGTCTAAACAGATAATCTTTGATTCGCTGCTTTTTTGACAAGATGGTTACTAAAATATTATTTTGAATAATTTAGCCCATTTGCTGAAAAACAATTTCTTGGATAAACTCATTTTATTAAGTAAACGTTTGTGTAAAGCCACATTATATCGAATGAAATTTATATGGATTTAACGTTTGACATAATTTGTAATTTTGATCAAATTACATTTTGGACTTTTTAAAAACGGGGATATACAGGCGCCCCAATCAAATCGCTCTCGACTGTGTATTAAACGTTTTAAAAATGCGCGGTTCATTTCGCTAATAAGATCATTTTTGTAGCGCAAGCGCAGTTGCGTTTGGTGAGGGTACCTGGCAGCACTGGGGTGTACGTGAAATGCGGTACATAGGATCGACATTGATTCATCTGAGCCCAGTTCCCTTCAATCATACTATGAACATTACTTTCTAAATTCTTTTTCATATTCTTTTAAATTTCAAATCAAAAATAACTATTTGGAAAAATTTTTTTCTTTTGCATTTTTGCAATTTATTTTTTTGCATGCTGAAAATAAGAGACATTTTTTTTTCATTGTAGGGTTGATTTGACAAATGCAGGGCGTTGTATTTTCTGATTCTGCGTCCCTGAAAGTGTTGTCAAGTTTATGCGCGCGTGCGACACTATACAGTCACCATGTTTGCCTAACGATGGCAACAGCAGGCAACAGCAACAGAGTTGTTGTGTTAGAGAAAGGTCGCACAGAGGGCAGCAATTTACGGTTTCCCTGTCTTAGGAAAAACTTTTTAGTTTACAGATTTCTTTCTTACCCTCTTTTGAAGAAATAAACTAAATTTAAATATTTATAAAATAACGTAAAAATATGTTGCTGGGTAACATAATGACAGTACGGGGTGTACCATCTTTGATGCTAAAAATACGGACAGCTGATTGTATCAGTTACAATCGGATTGTAATCTGGTGTTAGTTTTCTAAAATTCAAAATGTCGGATCCAATATGGCGGACGACTTTTTTAAAATATGACTTAATTGACTTGAAAATCATTACTCGGGGGTTTCTGGGGTCGCTGATTACGAATGTGGTGTTAATTATGAATAACTAACATCAAATTCGTAATCAATGTCCCCAAAAACCCCCGAGTGACGATTTTCATGAAAATTAATTCATTTTTCAAAAAAGTCGTCCGCCATTTTGAATTTTGGAAAACTAACACCAGATTCGTAATCAGACCCCAAAAACCTCCGAGTAATGATTTTCAAGCCAATTAAATCATATTTTAAAAAAGTCGTCCGCCATTTTGAATTTTGGAAAACTAACACCAGATTCGTAATCAGACCCCAAAAACCCCCGAGTAACGAGTTTCAAGCCAATTAATTCATGATTTATTATTTATTATTTTTTATTCAAAACCCTTATATTATTTAGGGGTTAATATTCTCCAAACACCCTCATTTAATCTTCAATCATCATAATTATCATTTTTCTTCGGCGGAAAATTTATTTCAAGCATTTAAAGAAAAATTTGAAGGGGGCCGAAAACAGGCCTTATTGTACGTGCTTTAAATGATAACTTTTTTTTAGAAAGAAAAAGTTACTGGATTTCAATGTTGGAATACAAAAAAATGTTACATCATTAGTTTTATGTCACATTTTTAAAACATTTCTCTTTTATCTAAAAAGGGTGAAATCAAATAAATATCTTCTAAATTTTCAAATTCATTTCGGTTTTAGAATTAATAAATCTCAATATAATCTTCTAAAAAAATTATTTTTTGAGAAGATTATATTGAGATTTATTAATTCTAAAAGACGAAAACCGAAATCGTATGTTACAGAAAGGCGATCAACTATATTTTTGAGATGAAAAAAAAACACGTGTTGTGTTTGTCGCATTAATCCCGTGATTTGAGTCAGGTAAATATCGTACATGAAGAAGATGACAGTCAGCTACACTTGCCTCCGTTCGTGGTCCAGGTTTAATGGACGCATGCGTGGGCGTCGGTTACCCTAGTAACGGGATGCAAACAGCGTACATGAATTCGTATTGATTACTCTCCCTCTCATGTTCCTCTCGCAATTTTTCTTTCTCTTTTTCCGTATACATACCTCTCATTTTACCGGCACATTTTATCTCCCTCGAAAATCTCGTTTTCGTTACACATGTGGACCAACCAAGGTGCCCAATTGTAATTAGCTTCCTACTCGTTCACCCCTTTCTCAAATCTATATACTGAAAGCCAAACCATAGTTTTATATTTGAAGTAAGCGAATAATTCGGTCCTTTTGCAGGAGCATATTAACATGATGGTTTTATGTTGAAAAATGTTTATTGTTGTCAAATAATGAAAACAAAAAGTAGTGACTTTTTGATGAATTGATTTGTTATCATTATCATCAGTTTAAGCCTAAATGTATATCCAAATTTCTACCTTAAAAAAAACTGTAGGATTTCTATTGTTAACATTCAATTTTTGATGATTGCGAATTTAATGTCAGATTTTCAAAATTCAAAATGGCGGCCATTTTGTCAAAATTGTTCAAATTTGCATTAAACCTTCTACTTGTAGATTGTCGGGGTCACTATGATAACGAATCTAGGGGGTCGATTACGATTTGACATTCATCTCATTTGACTAGACTCCCAGATTTTAAAACTTCAAAATGGCGAATCCAATATGGCGGACATTTTTTTGAAAGTTGCTGAAATCGGCTTGGAATTTTTTATTTCGGAGGTTTTTGGAGTCGCTGATCATGAATCTAAAGTCAGATTTTCAAAATTCAAAAAGGTAACCCGGAAAATACCCGAGTAACAAGTTTCAATCGAATTTGATTAAGTCTAAAAAAATATGGTCCATATTGGATCCGCCATTTTTAATTTTGAAAATCTTATTTCACATTCGTTTTCAGAACCCGAAAACCCCTGAATATATAAGGAATTGTATAGGACAATAAATTACGTAATTTTCAAATTTTTGAAATTGAATTTTCTGATTTTCCGCTTTTGAATTCAATAATAATTTTTAATTGTCAGTTAACAAAAACGCTTAAAACATTCAATTATTGTTTATGAAATTATTTTAAACTTGTTTATTTGTGCATCACTAGAAAAGTTGTCGATAAAATTAAATCCTTTACGTCGAAATCAAAACACAACTTTCTCAATTCAGTTATGCTTCAACATAAAGTGATAATAAACTCACGTTAATGAATAACTAAAATTAAAACTAGCTTTACTAATAATTTTCACATTTTCGTAATTAATAATTGCAAGCCATAAACTTGTATAGCAAATTAGAAAATATTCATAACAACAAAGCCTTAGTAAGTTACGAGAAAAATGTTGAATTATTTTTATTTTATAAAAGAACGAACAAATGAATCCTTTTGAAATTTTCAATATTAATAAAATTGGTAAATAGTATAAAATTTTTAAAACTGTTTTTTTTAATATAAATTTATTTCATTTCATCAAAATAAATTTAAGTTATTAGCACATAACAACATTGAGAAAATTAGACAAGTCCAAGTATTTGTTCTTTAATTAATGCTCACAAGATATAATAATATCCGTAGGATGTCCCAGTTACGTCCATTGATGATAACGGATCAGAGCGAGATCTTAGGGATTTTTGTATTATTAAGGGGTTACATCCAGTTAGACAGCCGAAAAAATTCGTAACTTTTTCTAAGAAAACTATTGAGTATTTCAATTTAAAAATTAATGCACATATAAAGGGTACTTTCAACTATATTTTGACATATTCTATTTATAAAATAAAATAATAAAGTACTGTCTTCTGGTTGCAACATTTAATAAATCAGCTTTTAATCTATAATTCGTAATATGTTCATATTTAAGAAGATTATAAATATAACGTATATACAATCATTCAGAGATCTCTCCAATTTATAATTCAACTCATCAGTAATGTCGTCATAGACTGGACAACAATAATCAAATGAAGGGGAATAAGTGACTTAACGAGTAGTAGACGAGTCTCAGTCGGGAGAGAATCCTCGCTTCTATTTAATTGTTGTAATACCATATAAATGTATTACGAGTAATTTTAAAAACATGTTCTTTCCCTGACAAGATACTATTTAATATTAACCCTACATCTTTTACAGCTTTTTTAAAAAACAATTGGAATGCCCCTTACCAAAAGGGGGAAATATTACGATAGAAGGTTTATTTGTTGAAAGTGAAGCACCTTGCGGAACGCCACATTAAACATTATCCCACTCTGAGTGATTACCATCCCCATCAACTATCCTTTGAAATCTCGAACCAAGATAAGACCCAAACCAATTGCACATACATATTTCGAATCCATAGCAAGTTTAATGTCGGATATAAATTTTAAAAAAGCAGTAGGTACAAGTGCTATGTTTTGCGCGAAAACCTGATTGCAATAATTGTGACTATTAATTATTTTGTGAACAGTAGTAGCTTGTAAGTGACTTAATGTGTTTTAGTGAAGTTTCAAACGTGGAAAACATTTGATTGCAGAGGTAAGTTATTCCTGTTTTAACATATCAAAGTCATTGCTTTTTATTAAAGGGATTTCTTATGGGAAACTTTATTGAGTTTACTAAGTAATAAATATGTTTATTTTGTATTGACAGTAAGATTTATGAGACAAACACCAAATTCACAAACGGCGGGGCTATAAGAAACACAATTTTTCCTTTATGAATTGTTAAAGTATGTTGTCAAAACGTAAGTTTCTCGTAAGTTATTTTGTTTTTTATCACCTAATTTGGTTTTTAGTGAACAAAGATGGTTCGAAATTGTTAAAGAGTGTTGGGACCAACAAGTCGCAAAAAACGACCAGTGACTCCATTATCGACCTAAACTCATGATACCAGCAACGTTTAAAACACACATTCGCTCTTTCAGTTTTCTTTTTACATTTGCAGACTTTACAGTCTGTCCCCTATTTCCCTAAAAGTCCCCTTTTTTAATTTTGGCCCCTAAACGTACCCTATTTTTAAAATTTCCCTTATTTTTTCTTTTATCTTTTAATGATGAATTCACACCAAATTTAGCAAAGTGCAGTTGACACTTTCAATTGGAAACTTTTGTTTTGAAAATTATTTTCATAAATATTTTTTAATTCGTCGCAGGAAATCAATTATTTTCAATAATTTTTAAATAATTCTTCAAAAGAATTCAATTGTCTTGATGAACAACAAAATCGCATAAATTCTCCCCATAAAATCAATTATTTTAAGGATTTTTAATGAAATTCTTTTCCAAAATTCAATTATTTTGATAAATATCAAAATTCTTCTGAAGAATTTAATAATTGTCAAAAATTTTAATTAAATTCTTGTCAAAATTTCAATTATTTAAACAAAATTTAATAAAATACTTTGCACGAATTCAATTATTTTTATAAATTTTAATGAATATCTCGTCAAGAATTCAATTATTTTTATAAATAGCAAAATTTTTCGCCTAAAATTCAATTATTTTCAAAATTTTTTCGCAATTTGATGTTTTTAAATATTTACTATTTTCATAAAATTCATCAACAGATTTAATTATAGAAAAAGCTTGTTGATACAATTCAACGAAAAGATTCAATTATTTTCATAAATAATAAAATTTCATTTACGAATTCAATTATTTTTAATTGAATCATCGCAGAATTTCAAATATTTTTAATACAATTTTAAATAAATTCCTTAAAAAATGCAATTATTATTAAAAATTTTATTAAAACTTGAGGAAAGAATTCAATTTTAAGAAACATTCAATTAGTCAATAAAACAAGAAAATTCGTTGCAATAATTCAAATATTTTCATAAATAACATTTAATTCGTCGCAGAAAATCAATTATTTTTAAAAAATTTTTAAGTGATTTTGCAAAAGAATTCAAATAGTTTAATAAACAATAAAATCGCATAAATTCTTTCCATAAAATCAATTATTCTAAGGAATTTTAATAAAATTCTTTTCCAAAATTTAATTATTTTGATAAATATCAAAATTCATCGCAAAAATTCAATTCTTTTAAAAAGGAATAAAATATTTTGCAGAAATTAAATTATTTTCAAAATTTTAAAAAAAAATTTTGTCAAGAATTAAATTATCTTTATAAATAGATAGGGAAATTCTTCTCAAGAATTAAATTATCTTTATAAATAGATTGGAAAATTCTTCTCAAGAATTAAATTATTGTCAAAATTTTTTTAAAAATTCTTCTCAAGAAGTCAATTTTTTTCAAAAATTTTAATAAAATTGTTCTCATGAATTCAATTGTTTTCAAAAATTATTATTTAAATTCTTCCAGGAATTCAATTATTTTTAAAAAATTTAATAAAATTCTTCAAAAAGTTTTCAATTATTTTCAAAAATTGTTATAAAATTCTTTAATATAATAAATTTCATTAAAATTTTAATTTAATTTCTTAAAAGAAATTTAATATTTTCAAAGTTGTTAATACAATTCTTCGTAAAAATTAAATTTTAAGAAACATTCAATATTATTTAGTTTTGTATTTGAATAATTGATTTCTCGTAGAATTAAATGATTATTTTTCGTACTTTTAATTAACAATTCTGTAGAATTAATTTTTTTGAAAAAGTTTAATTGAATAATAATTGATGTTATTGATTTAAAGTAGAATTTTAGTTAAAAATTCTAGAAAATAATTGAATTGAAATGATACAAATAATTTTTAAGAAATTACAGTCACAATATTCTTATAATAATAAAATAATGATTTTGTCAGTCGGTCATCTTCAATTATTATAAAACATAAAGATACCGATTGCTCCGAGTCGAAGACTCGGAGTGATCGATTTCTTCATGTTTTATAATAATATTCTTATAAGTTGTTAAATTTTAAAAAGGTTTGAATTTAAATGTTTTGAAAAATTTTAATTTCTGCGGAAAAATATTCTGCGGAAAAATAATAATGATGAAATATTTATTTGAAATAAAACTATTGATGTTTTCGAATAATTTGACTTTTGAAGAAATTTGTAAATAAATTTAATAAAACAATTTTTTGAGTATCTAATCATTTTTAGAGTAAATCAGAATATTCTTTAGGGTCAGGGAAAAATATAAGTCAAAGTTGTGTTTGGAAATCAGGGAAAAATAAAGTTAAATTTTTGTGGCAACCCTGTATAAATAAATTATATTTTTATCTTTATTTAACCAATTTTTATGGTCCCCTAAAAGTCCCCTATTTTTTAATTTTCAGTCCCCTATTTCCCCTAAAATATCTTTTAAGGGCACTGTGAAGCCTGCATTTGTTATAAATTCTGCCTTAGAAATATTTGTTATAGACTACGTGGAAAATACGAATGATTACTAAAGGTGAGGCTGGGTTTTACTAAACTGAAATTCAAATTTAATATTTATCAAATCATGACTCGAAAAAAATGGTACCGTATGTTGATCATGTGATATCACCCTATCCAGATTACTATGATAAACATTGCATTAATTCTGGTACTGCTGTTATCTAAGTGATGAGTAGATCCGTGAGGTACCATAAACATTCCCATTGAATATACTATAGAATAAAAATATTTCGAATTAGAAGTAGTATAGTGTTTAAATTACAATTAAAATCACCCATAATTACAGCATTGTTAAAATATTGAATTAAGGGACAAATTTGATTTTCCAACTCATTTCTAAATGAAGCATTTGGTGGTTTATAAAACAACGCCTATTAATGCATTATCAAATTCAGATTGTATTTTAAAAAATAAAAATTTTGTGATGGATGGATATGATTAAATAGATTAAATAGAGACGCATATTTCTCTCAATACGCACATATAGAGAAAGTTGGTTGACATGACCTTATAAGATTCAGATGAAAGTAAAAGTAAACAAAAGCGTATTGTCTTTGCGGTTGATGACGAGAAAACTGAGGGTTGGTGGGTAGGTATATAATTATTTTGAAAGATGCGTGTGTCACTATAAGGGTTTAAGAAAAGTATGCAACTGTCCCCTTTTTGCCGGGTCATCCTCAACAAGCCATATACTGGTGGGGTAGATGCAAGGGGATAATTTCTGTGTTTCAGGGGTGAATCCGAGGCGCCTGCGTCGAGTCCCCGATGTCTACGACGACGACGACGACGAGGTAGGTGCTCGACCCGGACGCAGTATTCCATCGACGGACACGTAAGTCTCGTCTTGACGTAGGTTCACTCTCAATTCAAATCTTTTGCCGTGTTCTCATAAATTCTCTAATTAAACCACTTCTTGTGTTTTCATTATCTTCTTAAAGCAAAATGCATACTGGAATTGTGTTTCTGTTTCTGTTTCTATTTCCAATTCCAACATTGTCACCATTCTTCTAATATTCTAAAAAAACAACTATTTCTTTCATAACAAACAATCAATCCTTCACTATTCATCTCCTATTTCATTCTCTACTTCCATCAGAAAGATGCTGTACTCTAAATATGTAAATCAGTGCTAAAAGTGTCGTTGGTGACTTTAAATTTTTTCAGAAATCATTATTTTAAATTGGACTAATTTTAAAATATAATCTTATTCAGTGATGATTAGCAAACTATAACCATTTTTCTAGTAATAAAACAATTTACTTAATACAAAATAAATTTTTTAAATTGAACTAGTTTTAAAATAATCTTGTTCAGTGATGACTACTAAGCTATTACCATTTTTCTAGTAATAAAACAATTTAAAAAAAAAAATTTTAATTTTTTTAAAATGGAAAATTAAGTAGTGATGAATATGTAAATGGTAATTTAAAAAAGTGTGTAACATTATCGATCCGTACAACAAAAAATATCCAAAAATCTCTTTCGATTGTCTTCAAAAATAGTTTATTAAATCAATAATTTAAGACAAAAAAATTAAAAATCTAATTTTAATAGTTATATATCGAAAGAAAATGTTCTGTACGTTCAATAGCAAATGTTCTATATGATCAAAATAGAATGCAAAACATAAAAGAAATAAGAATTATGATATATAAAACTTACGTACAGTTGTTTATTATTAAAATAGAAAACTGTGCCGGAAAGAGTGAAATATTCTATTTAAATGAAAAAGATGATTTTATTTACTGTATGTAGAGCAGAAGAAGTATAACAGCTTCATATATAGAATTCCTCCGGCCACATCCCAAGTTTCCTTAAGACTCGAGATTCAGCTTTTCATTGACAAGCACCGACTGTAAACACTGACGTATATTCATTTCATAGGTACGTCATTTACCTTTTCTCAAAAAACTTTAACTCATCTTTCCTGTTTTCATCTCTTTTTCTCTTTTTTTTTAAAAAGTGTGTTTTTCGATCGGCATTACATGGATTTTAATGGTGGTGGTGAATAGTGTGTTTTTCTTTACTTCCAGTGCGCGGTTTTTAGCAGATCTCTTATTTTTTTATAACTTTTGCATCTCAATTTAAACATACTTTTTTAAATAAATTTTTTTAAATTGAAATTGAAAATATATTTTAGAAAATTCAAAATAGTGAAGAAATAGAGTTTTCTTAATTCATTCAATGCTTTGTCATCTTGACTTTAAATTAAAATTATTAATTATATGCAACTATAGTTAACGAATCATGATTTTTAGAATATGAATTTCGGTACCAAATTTTCCGTTAAATTCTAAATGAATTCAGATGAAATTTTCTAAAGAAAACTAATAACATGGTGAGGAAAGTGCGAAAGTGTCGATATTTTATTGAAATAATTGAGGAGATAATATTGGGGTCTATAATAGGGGAAGTTTTACAGTAATTTTCAAATAAGCTAATGGTGTTTAAATATTGAAAAAAATTTCAGGTTTGCCACAAAAATTTAAATAAAAAAAAATTTTTATTTATTTATTTTTTTTTTTTAATTTTAAAAATTTAAATTTTGTTTTTCGCCTAATTTTCAGACTTAAAAAAAAAATTTTGAACTTAAAAATTTTGACTTTATCCCTGACCCTAAAGATTCTGATTCACTCTAAAAATTGTTAGATAATCAAGAAAATGTTCTATTACAATTATTTACGAATTTTGTAAAATTGTTCGAAAAGATCAATAACTTCTTTTTCAAATAAATATTTAATCATTATTATTTTTCCATAAGAATTAAGATTTTCGAATATTTCAAATTCAAACCTTCTTGAAATTCAACAATTTAAAGATTAAATTTAAAGATTAAATTTAAAATTAAATTTAAAGATTAACAACTAAAGATAACTGAGTGATAAAATCATTATTTTATAAAATATAAGAATATTGTTACTGCAATTACCACAAAATTAGTTTCATCATTTGAATTCAATTATTATTTTCTAAAAATTTTAAAAACTACAATTTCATCTTCAAATCAATTATTTTTAATAATTTTGGAAAAAGTTCTTTGAAAATTTTAAAATCAATTTGTTTAAAAATCAAATTTTTCTAAAATTTTGATTATTCGAAAATTCTTCAATTACAATATTAGAAAATAAAAACTGCAAATAATTTTTTAAAAACTTTTATATTAAACTTTTTCAGAAAAATTAATTCCACAGAATTGTTAGTTAAAAGTATGAAAAATTCAAATTTTTGTGGATTTTAATTTGAAACCTTTTCAAAATTCAATTATTTTTAAAAATTTATCCTCACGGTAAATCGTTAGGTATTAAAATGACACCAAAAAGGATTAAAATAATCCAATTTAGTGTTATTTTAATCCATTTTGGTGTTATTTTAACACCTAACGATTTACTGTGCTATAATGCTTTTAATATTCGATTATTATCTAAAATTTTAACTGAAATTCATTTTTATGAAATGAAAATAAATTTTTATTAGAAAATTCTACGAGAATTCAATTATTTAAATACAAAAATAAATAATTTATTCAATAATTTAATGTTTCTTAAAATTGAATTCTCATAAAGAATTTTATCAACAAATTTTCAAATAATTACTTTTTGAATTTTTTCGACGAATTTTAATAAAATTTTTAAGAATAATTATATTTTTCGAGGAATTCGATTAAAATTATTGTATATTAAAAATAATTGAAATTCTGTGATAAATTTTATTGTTTATAAAATTAATTGAATTCCTAAAAAGAATTTTTTTATTCATGAAAATAATTGAATCCCTGCAAAAAATTTTATTATTTATGAAAATAATTAAATGTTTGCGTAGAATTTTTTTAACATATTTTTTTTAAATAATATTGAATTCTTTTGGAAAATTTTATTAACATTTTTAAAAATAATTGAATTCCTGTGAATTTTTTATTATTTATAAAAATAATTAAATGTTTGCGTAGAATTTTATTAATATACTTTTTTTAAATAATTGAATTCCGAAGAAGAATTTTATTATTTACAAAGATAATTGAAATTTTGACGAGAATTTTTAAAAATTTTTGAACGTAATTGAATTTTTGCGAAGAATTTTATTACTTTTGAAAATAATTGAATTTCGACAATCATTTGTTACTCCTCTAAAATTCAATTTTTTTACTATTCTTAACTAAAATTCTTCTGTAAATTCATTGTTTTTAATAATTAATTAAACAATATGTTAAAAAATTTAACTTATTTCAGAAGAATTTAAATTATTAAGATTTCTTAAAAAATCTAAGTTCTTTAAAAATTTCTAATTAAATTCATTGAAAATTGAAATTTTCTAAAATTTTAAATTGAAACCTTTTGAAATCCATCTATTTATATGAAAATTGTAAACGCAACTCTTTTTTAAATTCAATTAATTTTGAAATATTTAAGTAAAATTATTCATTAAATAATTTTAAGTAATAATTTTATGATAGTTCTTGAAGAATTAAGTTTTTCAAAAAGATATTATTGTTGTAGAAATAGAAGAAATTGAAGGTTTTGTATTAGAATTCTAGATAATTTAATAGTTTATGAAGCAAACAAAAAAGACACAAGAATTCAGAATTTTCTTATGAATTCAAAAAATTTGCTTTTTTCCAGAATTCCCTGACCTGTAACAACCCTGAATTTAATTTTTTGTCAAAAGTTGTTCTCCAAAATTCACCCTCAATTATTATGGAAATTGTAAATTGTAAAAAAATTTAGTTTGTAAAGAAAATATATTATTCTAATTTTTCAAGAATTTCATATTTTTTATAATAAAAATCCCATCAAAGTATTAACACTTTTCTACATCGCATTACCACCTCATCACTGTTGATAATTTTCGATTAAATTTCAATTTTTTATTAACCATTTTACTTGTATACATTAAATATTTTAAACAATAGTTTCGAACTAGAAACAATCATATAGCAGGGATCATGTGACCGAAAATAAGTCTGGAGAATTTTATCAATCTCATGGTTACTGCATTTATCAACAGTATCAAATTTTTGAAAAAAAAGAAAAATTTCCTATATATTACAGAAAATTCTTATATAATTATTGTTTTTGACATTCTCTTAAAATTTTTATAAAGTAATAAACTTTAAATTAAACTTATTTTTTGTAGTCATCATTATCATTCATGATGTACAATATATACAATTATATAGAATAAATAATAAACTTGAAATATAATTTACTATATATGTATATTATATAATAATAATATAATTAATTTAAAAAAAATTTTCAAAATTTTGCAATTTATTTTAATTAGGGGCCGTCCATAAATTACGTAAGATATTTAGGGGGGAGGGGGGGGGGTCAGCAAGATCTTACGAACAATAGGAAAAATGGCGCTAATGTATGTAAAAAATCTTACGAAGGGGGGGGGGTCAAATTTACCCAAAAAATGTCTTACGTAATTTATGGACAGCCCGTTATTTGATTTTTAATATTTAAACTTTTGAGGACAAAACATATGATGTGTAATTTATTTAATTTTTAATCTAGAAAGTTTGAGAATAATTAAAAAAAAAAAAAAAGAATTGTATTTAAAGGTTGTGAAACAAGTGTGTATATAATCTTAACTTTGTGAGTTGTGAAAAGAGAATTGAAAGTTTTCTTAGAGACAAGAGTTTTGAATGGATTATATTGCACAACAAGTGAATTCGGTGCTATTAATTGTCGTTTGCATGTGGGTCATGAGCTGAAGCTAACTAACAGGATTGAGGATTTATCGAGCTAAGGTAAGAAAATTAAGCATCAGTATCAACAACAACATATTAACATGATTTTTCCTTTGCTGTATCTTATCTTTATTCGAAGAGACCTTAGACGAGGCCAACAACGAGGCCAACACCTCATTTTAATATCAATATATACATTAGAACATTTTTTTATTTTTTTTATCATCAAAGCAGTACAGGAAAGAATTATTCATTTCTCTTTACGAATTTCAAATAACAATTTCGAATTTAAATAATTTATTGTTATGCAATTTCGTTATTAAATACATAAAATATATATGGCTTAGAAAAAAATAGAAGTAACTTACTTAACCCCTTCGTGGTCCAGTTAAAAATCGCTTATGGACGAGCTTGAGGGTCTAAAACGGTCCTAAAAAAAGATCCCAAAAAAATGTGAATGTCAGTTTTTCAAAATTCAAAATGGCGGATCCAATATGGCTGATAATTTTAAAATTAATGCGTTTCGACCAAAATTTATTTCTCGGGGGTTTTCGGGGTCGATGATTATGAATCTGATGTCAGATTTTCAAAATTCAAAATGGTGGATCCAATATGGCGACTAAATTTTTTAAAAGTTGACGGATTTGTCTAAAAATATTTTACTCGAAAGTTTTTAAAGTTACGAAATTCGAATTTAATGTGAAATTGTAAATTGTATAATTTGTTTTTTTTTATTCTTTTAATTACTGAACCGTACGCTACACTTCTAATTAGTTATATATTTTACAAACCATTTTGCATTTTTGAAATCTGATATCAGATTTTAATTTTTTAGTTTTGACATCAAATTAAATTTATTTCCCCAAAAAAACCCCAGAGTTATCATTTTAGGTATATCCGGCAACATTATAAAAATTTGGTCTACATATTGGATCCGCCATTTTGAATTTTGAAAAAAGAACATCAAATTCGAATTCAGCAACCCCAAAAAGCCTCGAGAAATGAATTTCGATTGAATTTTTCTAAATCTGCTTCAAATTTGTCATCAGCTATCCCAAAAAACACCTAATGACAAATTTCAAGCCAATCAAATTGATTTTCTAGTTTTTCGTCCGCCATATTGGATCCGCCATTTTGAAATTTAACGTATTAGAGAAAATCTTACGGTAGATTCGAATTCAGCGTAAAATATATGTTAGAAAACGTTCTTTACATTATCGTGATGTCCAAAAGTTGACCCAAATTTGTTTTCCTGTGTCATTTAATAGTAATTATTCACTTAGAAAAAAAATTACAACATAGGTATTAAATTATAATACATAATTGTTATTTGATATTCTTTAGATGAAATTAATCAAGATTAATAACATACTTTCAGGAAAATAAGACTAAAATTACGCACCTAAATTTATTCATAGGATCTGGAGTTTATAAATAAAAGAAAAAAGTTATATGCAACCATATAAATCTATAGAATGAAACACTTCGTGCAGAATATTAAAGAGATTTGCTTATTCAAAGTTACTATTATTTTAATTTTTATACATTAGAAATTCGATAATTTTTGTGGAACCGAGTTTTACATATTACTGAAATATATATGCTGTAAAATAATAATACTATAATTATAATAATTTTTGAAATTTTAAAACTTAAAATCATATCTTTATGTAAGTTCAATGTAAATATAATTTGTTAACTTGTGAACATAAATAGTGAGTATAATCGCACTAATAAATCGGTCAAGTGCGAGTTACACTCGCTCGGTTAGGGTTTCGTTTCACGATGAGCTTGAACTAACATTAAATGAAAATTCTTGAGAAATGAGATTTTTTGTGGATTCCAGCAATAGAGGCCTCACCTGGGTATTTTTCCAAGCAAAATTAAATAATTCACCTAGGGGCCGTCCATAAACCACGTAGCCCCATTTTTTGGGAATTTTGACCCCCCCCCCCTCCCCCCATGTAGTACGCTATTACATGTATTAGCGACATTTTTTCCTCTTGTCGTAGTCAATTGCTTGACCCCCCCCCCTCCCCCTCAAGAGGCTACGTGGTTTATGGATGGCCCCCTATTATTCATCTTTTATATTAACCCATTAACGCCCATGATTAAACAAATGAAAATATCATCAAAATTATTATTGGAAACAGGACTGCGGATCAAATAATGACTTTTGACGTCAAAAATTGTTTAAAAAATAATTTGTTTATAAAAATTGTTATAAACAAATGAACAACAGTGACAGTAATTCTAAAGGTTAAATATTTCATACGAACAAATGCAGGCAGAATTTGTTGATTCATAATTTTTTAAATTTAAAAAATATTCTAGTAGTCTTTTCCCTTAGAATCGAATGGCACTATAAGTTTTAAAAATGTTATTAATTTTCTCTATTTGTTTATAACAATTTTTATAAACAAATTATTTTTCAAACAATTTTTGACGTCAAAAGTCATCATTTGATCCGCAGTCTTGTTTCCAGTAATAATTTTGCTGAAATTTTTAGTTGTCTAATGATGGGCTCAAATAGGTACATGAGAGTTCACTATTTGTTTATAAATTATTTACAACAAACTGAGTGAAAATTTTTAAAATGTCATACATGTTCCTTTAGTAATTTTTCACGTAGAATCGAATGGCGCTATTAGTTTTTAAAATTTTATCAATTTTCTTCATTTGTTTATAACAATTTTTATAAACAAATTATTTTTTAAACAATTTTTGACGTCAAAAGTCATCATTTAATCTGCAGTCCTGTTTCCAATAATAATTTTGATGAAATATTTAGTTTGTAATGATGGGCTCAAATAGGTACATGAGAGTGCACTATTTGTTTATAAATTATTTACAACAAATCGAGTGAAAATTTTTAAAATGTCATACATGTTCCTTTAGTGATTTTTCACGTAGAATCGAATGGCGCTATTAGTTTTTAAAATTTTATCAATTTTCTTCATTTGTTTATAACAATTTTTATAAACAAATTATTTTTTAAACAATTTTTGACGTCAAAAGTCATTATTTGATCCGCAGTCCTGTTTCCAATTATAATTTTGATGATATTTTCATTTGTCTAATCATGGGCTTTAATGGGTTAAAAAAATGTCAGATCCAATACAGCATCAAAAAATTTTGAAATTGACTAGATTCGCTTGAAACTTGATACTTAATAGTTTCTGGAAAATGGAAATGTAATTTTTATTGTTTATAAGTAGAATTATGATGGTTTTTTGGAAATAAGGGTATTTTAGGTGCATTTGTATTTCCATTATGAAAAATAATTACTGGATGAATCATTGTTTGAATCTCTGTTCACCCACAGCATCAAAACTATCTTGAAGATTTATCAAATATTTATTAGCAATGTTTGGAATATTTAAATGCGAAGTTTAATGAAAATTGTGTAAAGATTTAAATGTCCCAATTAAATAAAATTCTAGTTGAAATTAACTTGACTGCAACCTTCTGACTAAACATTCAGATGGTTCCGCAGTCAAGCTAATTTTAACTTTCAGCAAATTTTTAGGTGCTGCGTGGTAACCCATGGTACGTTGTTTGATTCTGCAAAAAGTGCTAACTGAGACAAAAAAGATAATTATCTTCAAATCCGTATGCACAAGTAAAGAAGTAAAAATTTTAAGCAAGAATAAATCCCTTGTTGATAGGGGTTTTTTTTTAAATAATTTTATTGTACGTGCAGCTACTTTTTGTAGATGGCATACACTTTTGACGTATACAGTAACATTCCATTGAGTATCTTTATTGACGTAATACCCAGGGGAATGAACCAACTTAATGAGGAATACCACCATATTTACTTAGGAATTGGTCTGTACGCGCATATATATATAAATGTGTATGCAATCATCGGAAAATAGGGTTCATGGAGTTGAAGTGCACACCACTCTTTTGCTTGAGTATTAGCTAAGCTAAGAACTTTATTTACAAGAGTGAGTGCTTTAACTTCAAGGGAAGGATCATGGTGAAGAAATTTCTTTTTATAATTCCACACAATACTCTTTTATAAAAACCTTGAGCAAATCTAAACAAAAGAAAACATTATTTCCAGGACAATACTATCTGCAAATTATACAATTGTTTTATAAAAACTATATGTTAGTATAGAATTCATATGGTTTTCCATAAATGTACCCATCAATGGAAATAATCAAAGAAACCCAGATTATCCAATGTATTCTTTATTCTGAACAGCGGTTTAAAATTAAACCATAAAAATCAATGTATGAGTATAAAATCATATCAATGTATGAGTATAAAATAGGAACAAAAAGGAAAAAAATGAATAATGTTGCAAAGCTTAATGCATATGCATGAGAATGAGAAATAATTTGTGAAAAGCTGAGAGACTTTCTGGAGTGCGTAATTTGTAGCTCTTAAGTGGAAAGTTTTAGATGGTGAGAAGTAGTACGCATGTCGTGGAAGGGGTGAAATAAAAGTGGAGAAATATTTAAAAGTAAAAAAGAGTTACGAGTGTATGACAAGCGAAGAAAAGTGGTTACTTGCGTGTGCAGCGAGTGTTACAAGAGCCAACCTTAATGCCTTCATCATGTGTGATACATCCGTTAATAATCCCTTTTCTATATGCCAGCATTACATAAAGAACAAATCTATTGAGGTACATTTTATGCCAATGCTGCATGCAAACTGATATTATTTATACGCTTGCAAAAAAAGACATTGACAGGCTCAGGGGTAGTCTTTCTGGCATCATCTTTATTTCCTTCTTTTTTACCAATTTGTTTTCTTTCTTCAATTGTTAAATTATATATGAGATGTTTCAGCGCTGTATTTGCGATTTTTTTTAAATTACAAACATAATTGGTTATCTATATAAGATGTTTTTGTTTTTTGGATTGTAATAATTTAGTTAGATGTTGGTTTGTTTATTATTTTTTAATCCATATTAAAATAGGTCCATCGTTGATGGACGAAAAGCTTCGTGCTTGAAAATGATTTTAATATGGATTAAAAAATAATAAACAAACCAACATCTAACTAAATAATTGGTTATCTTTAATTAACATTATTACAAAGAT